CAGAAAGTAAAGCGGAGGAGAGCGTGCGCGTTGATCAGTCTTTGTTTCACTGGTGGCCAGTCCAGGATTTTGTCCAGTTTTGTACCGCTCCAGCCCCCTGGGACACCGGGGGGATCAGGGTGGTGCAAAGACTGGGCAGAGAGGTCGATGTTTTGTCTGTAACTCGCACCCTGGGCTGGAAAATTTTGGATCTGATTACAACTTCAGTTTTTCTTGGTAATTCTTTCTTTTCTTTCCTTTTTTTTTGTTGGTGATTTACACTTTGAAGACTCCTGCTTATTTAGCATACAATACATCTATAATTGCCTAACTTCTGAAGTCAGCTCAGATGAACAAGTAGAGCTCCTCATGACAGCGGCTGCCTCTCAAGTGTTAGATTTAACAGGTGCGATGTGAATATGTTAATGGTAAACCACTCAGCTGGCTCTTTCAAGTAGTCTTTTACACCCACTGACGAAGTGCGATGGGCAGGATGAAAATTGCTACAGAACTGTAAATGTCAGCAGTCTGTTCTGAATCAAATGACAAATATGAGCCCAAAACCTCACGGTTTCATCAAAGCGGAGAGTTTGAAAATGCCACAATCACAATTGGTCTGTTTTTCTTCGTGGATATAAGAATGAACATAACAAAACAGCTGTTTAAGAATCTTTTAAGGACACAAAGGTTTCTGCTTTTTAGGGTCTGTAAAATTTACTTTGACAATAAAGCACTTAATTAAGCTTCCAGGTACAAAGTCAAACTAAAAGTATTCAACTGTGCTTACATCGATCCATCAATTTGCCACCGCTTGGAGATCCCAAGTCCCTCCAACGTACCCCGAACTCCTCACAAGCTGGTTCCTCTCCACGTGGAGGAGCAATGGCTCCACTCCGAGTAGAACTAGTCATTAACTAGTAGTAACTCATTTCGGCCACTTGTATCCGCGATCTCATTCTTTCGGTCACTGCCCACAGTTCGTGACCATAGATGTGGGTGGGGACGTAGATCGACCGATTAAATCAAGATAAATCGAGAGCTTTGCTTTTAAGCTCAGCTCTCTTCATCACGACATGAAACTTTATAGATGGGGGAAAAAAATGGGTTTAAGACTAATACCTTGACTCATTTATTTGCACTTGTAAATACACATAATCCTAATGAAGAAATGAGTCTACATCGGATGGCTCTGTTGAAATTGCACAACTATAAATGAGCCGTTCCGTCTCCATGCAGCTGCTCTGTACTCATCTCAGAGCTGGACTGGAAGCTGTGAATCACCCCAGTGATTTCATTGATCCCCGCAGCAGATGTGGCCTGATGTTTACTATTGGCTTTGGATTTAGAAACTCGTTGCTCGTGGACAACAGTGTTTGCAACCTGTGTGTGTGTGTGTTAGTTTGTGTGTGAACTCCAGACGGGCATCGGATGCTCAGACGGGTCAGGGTTGGATTGTGACCTGAGATCAAATAGCTGAAACGCGACTCTCCATCGTGGTGTGTTTAAGACGAGGGGATTGTTCCCACTAAGTGATCGATCATTCCCCTGTACTCGGCCTACTTTCTGTCACGGAAACGCCCAACAACGGCAGAGTTATTGGAATACAGCAGAACCTCGATTTACGATTGCCTAACCGTACGAATTTTCCAACATCCAAAGTGAAATTTGATCAAAAATTCTACTCGACGCCCAATGAAAATTTCTAACGTGACATCATAGTCATATAAAAAAATATAAAAATGAAACTAAAATAAATAAGCTAAGTTAGTTTAAAGTTTTATTGATTATTGCTTATTATTTTGCTTATCATTATTGCTTTATAATTATAGCTATGTGTATCTGCAGTATTTATTAAAGAGTTATCGTAAGTTTTTGGGCTGTGGAACGAATTATAGGAATTACAGTGTGTTCTAATGGGAATATTTGAACCAACATACAACTATTATAACATACAAAGTAGATCCTGGAACAAATTAAATTCGTATGTAGAGTTTTTACTGTATTTCTGTAGACTGACAGAACTATGAGTTCACCCAAACTGTGATCTGTGTGTCAGGTTGTGAGTAACCCGGGCGGTTGTCAAATTATAATTTTCTTAATTTTAGACTTAAAACATGAATAAAACATCTGTAAGAAATAGGAACAAAAACTAAAAAAACGATGCAGCATTTTTTCAAGAACCTTTCCTGACTTGATTCATGGGTCAGGCTTTATAAGGTTTATTTGTTTTCTCGACTATTATCGTCTAAAAACCTTAAGTAGTTTTTTTGTTTTTTTGTAAATGAATTAAGAAACTTAAACAAAAATTCTCTTTGTTTGATATGTTTCAGGCTTTATCCTCGCCATACAGTTTCATAAGAAATTCTTGGGCTAAACGCTGGTGTTTGAATATCTGTGAAACTATGCTAAGTTCTCATGTTTGGTAATCAAGTTGCCACCTAAATGTCACAGTAACATCACTCACTGATTTCTAAATTTGAGGGTTTAGTCACTGCCCGACATATTTGAACAAGGATGTACAGACGTATGCACAATAGTACATATTTTTGAGGATGAGTAGCTTTAAAGTGATGGAGTTATATTTAGATGATCAGAGGGAGGAAATTGAAATAATGACACCATAATGACGCAGGAAGTATTTAGCCCTCCATCTCAAACTGACCTCTGGGATCTCTACTGTTGAACTATTTAACTGGAACCCGTGTCAGCAGGTGGTCATGTTGTGTTGCCAGTGATTGGAGGAGGAAAAGGAGGCGATAAAAACCCCAAAGTCGTGTGTGTAAAGCATAACTCTGGCTCGGGTGAGCGTGGTAAGGAATCTGATATTTTGTATTTTTTGGGAGGCTGATTTTAGGAGGAGCTTTAAGTTGTTCTGTGATTGTTGACGTAGAACAAAAACATTTGAGCGTCCATTTTAATACAGCTGCACTGTTTTCTTGTTATCCTTTTTTGGGGTTAGTTTGGTTTCATTTTAGCTAAACGTACAATTGTCTTCACATTTCCATGCACCCTCTGTCTTTCCAGATCTGTTTTTCGTCCCCAAATGTTTGAGCTTCTCCCTCTTAGTGAACTTGTTTCCAGCATGTTAGCAATGAATTCTTTCTTGTTTTAATCTTTTCTGGTAAATAGACTTCATTGTGGAGGGGGAAAAAAAGATTCTTAATTATTTTCACTATACTCAGAGGGACACGGTAGATGGGAAACCTCTGTGTTTAGTCAGGATGGCGATTTGGATCCTTTTCAGAGTTTCTTAATGGCAGCAGAGAGTCAGACCTGTTGACTACTAAATTCTGCATTCCACCTTTTAACAGCTGTACATTCGTTTTTGTAATGTGTGGTATTTTGGACCTCATTTACATGGAATTATGCCTCATTTCTTAGCTAAATCAGCAGGATTTCTGAATTATTTCGAGTTTAGTTTGAGTCAAAGGCACAAATATTTTATGACATATCAAACTGTTTCAGTTTTTACATCTTTAGGCACTTGTATGGACAAAAAAACAGATTTTGCAGTGACAGAGGAGCGCTTTTACAGTCGATTTATGTTTGTTTTGGTTTGGCCTCTGTAATCTGACCACTGTGGCAGCTCACAGCCTCCAGCCTCTGTCCTTAGGAGTGCTGGTGGCCGCTCTGTTTGAGCGTGAAATCGTGGGTGACGGTGGGAGTGCAGCGGTTCTCAGGTTACGGGAGTGGTTGGGATTAAATGATCAGCCTGGTGTGGGACAAACAGGACTTAACTCTTCTTATTTCCGTACCTGTTTTTGTGCTCAGCGAACCAGAATTCAGGACGGGTGATCCACTTGTTTTCTTTCTTCTTATCCCCCGTGTTCTCCCTTAGCTATGACGGCCCCCGTGTCAAACGATACCTTTCTAACTGGCTATATATTATTCATAAACACTGGGTATTGATTTGCTGCTATGAGAGAATCCGCTCCACTGGTTTTATAGTTTTCTTGGAGAATTTAGAATAGCTGGCAGGTCATTTCTGAGAATCCAAACAGGTTGTTTGATATTTCTATTGGCAACACCCTGACAGCTCTCCACCTAAAGTTCTCCACTCTGAACTTTCTGTCTGGGAACACATCAGTCTGATTACAGATCTGCAAACCTTGGTCTGCCCAGCCACCACCTCCAGTCCTTCCAGAGCAATTTTTGAGGCCTCCCAGAGTTCACAGAGGGATTCATTTCCTCCCGATGGCTACTAGAGATTCCATATTTTTTACCAGACTGGACATTATTGTCATGACTAACCAGTTGTTCTGATTGAAAATATCTTTAATTTCACAATATGCCTGCCTCCTCTTTCAACACTCACTATCCGATTGAGTTAAAAAGACTTTATGGGATTCTTTTTGCCGAGTATAAACCCGCTCCTGGTTTAAGGAAGGAGCTGGGTGTGTTTCTTTGATGTGGTAATCCGCCCAAAAAGACGGCATTCATCGCTAGTTCCTGTGTGATTCTATTAAGCATTAGTGATTAGTGTTTTTTGTTTCAGACATTACCCAGCAACCGGCAGGCTTTGATTTCATTCTGTTGCTCGCTTTATTTCCCGAAGAGAATTCAATCTGAAGCATAGAAATGTATTCTCCCATTACAGATGGTTTTAAGCATTTAGCCGAGGGCTGGGAGGATATCGAGGTTTTTTTCATGGTTAATTGTCCGGGCGGGATCAGAATTTTAGATGTCTAGGTGTAAAAAGGTGGAATTATTCCGATGTTGAGGTGGAAATCACAAGTGAATCCATTAGTTAATAGTTTTTAATTGCCAGGAGATCTTCTCCTCGTGGATCTACATAAAGAATGACGATGTGTGTGGAGGCGGCGTGTATGTGGAGGCTGACGCATGCCGGGGGGGGACTTGCTGGGGATAGATTTTTAAGGATAAGGGGAGCTGGCCTTTTTTTGCTTCTATAAATGGGAATTTAGCTCAGTGGCACTTCCTTTATTCCCTCTCCACTACACAGACTTTTGTTGCTGGTTAATTTCCCTGTGAGGTTTACGGTGACTGAAACTGGACGTGTTGTCTCCTCTCTCTCTTTGCAGCGAGCGGTGACCCTGCCTAACTGACACCCTGCTTCTCCTGCCGCCCCCCCTCCCCTGCCCCCCCGCCCTCCGCCCTCACCGGGGGACCGCGCGGCCCGTGGTGGATCGGAGCGCTCTCATTGGAGGCTTTGCGAGGTGGTTTTTCGGTCTGGCGCCGCCTCCCCCCGGGGCCGGCGTGCGCTCCCAGCAGCCCGTGGTGCCCTGTGCCCCCCCGTCCCCTTCACTGCACACCAGAGCCCATGCCCAGGGTAAGGCCAGAATCACGCCGCCGGGTTTGTGGTGCCAGTCTGGGGTTGTTTATTTTTAACCCGAGTTTTAGATGTTAATACGATGACATCGTCTCAGCGAAGTGAAACTGAACTCAGAATCTGCCAAAAGTGTTACGTCAACATTCTTGATAGGTAACTCAGGACAACGTTTTCAAGGTACATCAGACGGGTTTTTTGTTTATAAGGTTTATCAGTACTTATTTTTCTGTTGGAGCAGCAATTCTTACATTTCCCAAAATGGTGTGAAAAATTCGAGGATTGCTGACTTATACTTCTGTGTATAGAAGTGAAGCACACCATGTTAGAGGTTTGATCATTTGAGCTGTTTAAATAGTAGGTTTTTTTCTCCAAAAACATAAGAACTGCTGAGCCATTTGCTATTTTTTATTGTGGTTTGCAACACACAGTAAAGTAAAGATTACAAGATTAAACGTGTAACAGGTTGTGTGGGAAAGTAGAAAAGCTGTTTATTTCGGGTATCAAGATCTCAATCTTTGAACTTTGTCTTTGGAACAAAAGTGAAATGCATCCACGGCTTTCTGTACAGAGAGCGAGGAAAGCTGACATCAGAGATTTCTAATCTCTTGTGGATGTTTTTTTTAATCATAAAATTCTTTTAGCTTATTTTCAGACCCTATCTACACATTTCTAACCACACTTTGCCCCCCCCGTATGTATTCTGATATGTATCATATTTATTCTCGCCATGGCAGGAGGAGGCACGGTGCGTCTGCCAGGAGCCATGTGCCTCCCTCACACCAACAACATGGACAACAAGCTACAGGGGGCGGGGCCGGGGGGAGGGGCTTCACTTCGACCACGAGCAGGAGGCGTTCCTCTGGAGCCTTTCATACACCAGGTGTGTGCAAATAGAACATGACGACTTCCTGTTGACACTTTTCTATTTAGGAAGGAGAATTTGGTAAAATGGCAATAACAAAAAGGAATGAGAAATGCAACGTCCTCACTGGACTGTTCTGTAGTGCTGGCGTGCGTTTAATAAAGGCAGCTAATCACAAACTGAGACATCTGGAATACAGGATTTCCTGTTTTTGTTGTTGTTTCGCTGTTTGCGTAACTTGTTTTGCCCGTCGCCTCTCTGCATGTGTGTGTCTTTGTAGGTCGGGGGTCACACCAGCATGATGCGTTATGATGACCACACGGTGTGTAAGCCTCTGATCAGCAGAGAGCAGCGCTTCTACGAGTCTTTGCCTCCCGAGATGAAGGAGTTCACTCCAGAATACAAAGGTCAGACACACTCCCACGGCTCTGTGACGCTCCAGTACACTCACAGCCGCACAGTGATGCGCTCCGATAATGAGCCCAATTAAACACAGGGGAATTTAATAATGAGCCGCGCTCTTAGGAGCATGTGTGTATCAAACACAGATTAGCATAACAAACAAAGTCATGGCTTGGCCTCCATTAAAAATGAGATCTGTTGTTCACATTAGAGGTTGAAAATGCTTTGGCACAGATATGAAACTATCAAAAGAGAAACTAGATATTTCAAATTGAGCCCTTAAAATCTTTTGAAAACCCTACTTTTTGTTATTTCCCTGCATCGTTGCATTCATTTTTCACTGTTTGAGATGATATGAACATAAATGCTGCACAGACCTGATTTCACCTTTTAATAAGCAAACAGACCTCTCTCTCTACCCTCCATATACAATGCGGAGACAGAGGTGTGTTTACATAGCCAAGTCTGGAGTGTGTGTAGATACAGAAAGAAATACAGTTTGAAATTAGGCTGTTTTTATCAGCGATGTTCTGCTGCTGACTAAAGACAAAGACCAGGTCACTACTGATGCTTAAGGAATGACAGAGGAAGCTTGTCCCTTTTTTCATTTGTAAATGATGTGATGGGGACCAGGAAGTGTTTGAGCAACTCAAAGAACAAGACTAGCTTAAAGCGATGCCTCATGTGTTGGACGCAGAGAACTATGAAGGAAGGAAGTACAGATGTTTAATAGTGATGGGTGACGTATTTGCTCTGCTCTCCATCAGCAATGACAATCTGGAACCATTCCATTTTTTTCTGCTGTCGTAACTGTGTGAGAGAAATATAAACACACATAACCTATCCTTTCTAATATGCGCATAAAAAGATTTTTTTATGATAGTTAGATAAAGTATAACTAATAAATAATATAACTGTATTTACAGAAAGCCCCACAGTCCTAAAACTGAAACATAGCTGGGATGAAGTCATTCTTAAGATAAGTCAGATTGATGAACACAGTCTGGCAGGAAAATGTGACGAGACCAACTGCCAGACTTAATTTGGTTTCAAACATGTTTGAATGCGTGACACCGTCTGACCCAAAACCCGAGCTAACGGCAGCCTCTTGAGCTTTACTCATATAACCATCCAGAAATGGGGATTGAATACAAATGTGGACATCAGTGTGTGCAGGTGTAGCCCCTTAACAGAGCAGAGAGAACAGAAAAAAGCCGGCGATCACAGAACATACGGCAGACATAGAAGCAATACCGCGAGCATTCAACTGTTATTACCAGAGCAATACCGTCTGAAGGGACGGTATTGACACCACGATGACTCCTGAGAAATAACTATTGACCCCATCTGGGGAGAAATTGAGAGGGAGCGAGGTGGAAGAAGAAACGGATGTGATCGTCGGTAGCTTCTGTTTGAAGCTGCGGTTGAACAGAGCATAGAGAGACAACCCTGCAAGGGCAAAAAATAAATGTCAAATTCCCTGCAGGGCAGAGGGCGCCCACACAGGTATGTCTCTTTCCTGGCTCCCTGCTCATTGATTTCAGCTCCTTAAATGCTGTGTAGGCGTACACAGAGCTCAGGCTGGACCCGACCGCCTTCTCCTCTGCTCTGGCTCTCACACCTGTTGGGTTTAATTATACTAAATAATTAATTCCGTTTGTTTGGACTGTATCGTTCAAGGCACAGCTGAACTCCAGTCACCCACAAGTGGAAACCCTTGTGTGCCCGCAGCTTTTTAGGAACATATCAGAAGCTTGGATGTGTTTTAATAGGATGATTAGTTTTAATTTCACTTGGCGCTGATTCAGGTGCTCTTACCTGTTCTTCCAGTTCTTTTCAGTTTCTTGCTTTGAAACATTTGGCATGAGTAGATTTTCTTTCTTCTTCTTCCTCTTTTGTGGACACGTTTGCATTATTTTCCACTGAAGTGTAGAAAATGCCTGACTCACAGTAACAAACTTGATTCGACTCTGGGGTCACTGTGGGATGGTCAACACGACACAGTGGTTGAGGAAAAAACTGGGTGTATAAATTAGTTTGAAACCAGGTCAGATACGGATGACTAACTGAAGGAGGTCAGATCTCATCATCTTTTTGAAGATTTCATCCATGCTATCACTTTTTGCTTTCCTGAACATGAAATCTTGCTATTTCTTCTTAACTTTACAGTTTAGCCGACATCTGAGGCGGTACATGTTATCTCTCTGCATTATTTCCAGTTTGTATGAAACAGTGACAGTATGAAAGATAAATCTTAAAACATATTATCCTAAATTTGTTTTTATTGCTTTTCAGCAATGCTGTTATGATATAATATGAACATTTAGTTTGTGCTTATTTTGCATTATTTTTGGATTTTGGAAATCTGTGTATTGACTGAAAATGTATCAGATACATGAAAAATTCTACATATCGAAATTGTTGACTAGAATCTACATGTTGGTGTGATATGAGATGAAAAGTAGAACAGATACTTATCGATGTTGCACTGTAATCTCTGTAATCATCTGTTACACTACACTGTTGTATAAGAGATGTGCTGGTCGTGTTCAGAGTAGATCTGAGCTCTCTCCTCCATGCTTGGTGACAACAGGACTCCATAAGGAGTCTATATTTAGCTCTACATATCTGCCCACTAGCATTGTCCAGCTGATTGAATAACAGCAGACAGACAGCTGCCCAGGCACACATTTCTTAATCTGTCAAGGTTGTTTCATCCGACTACTGTTTGACATTATCAGGTGGAATTTGTCCTTGTTTTGTTGTTCTGGAGGTAGTTTGTGTCTTTGGCCTAAAAGGAACGTGGAAAGCCTCAGTTTGGACTAAAGTTGCAAGAACTGCAGCACCAAACCAGCAATTACTCGTTGACGAAGCTCTTTGTTTGGGAGAAAACAGACACAAAAATTCAATTTGGGAAAGCAGGGAGCATGTTTAGTGTCTCAGTTAGTAGGGATGACATGTTCTGCTCTGTTTGTGAATTTAAAAATAGCAGCTTAATGCATAAAAAGGTTTCTCTGCTGGACTTCTTCCTCCTTATTTCAACTACAGTAGGACCTTGATATGGAGATGATTGAAAAAGTCAAGTGTTTACCAGATGTTGACTCTGCCTGAGAAGCTGCATTGGTCCTTTTTCATTACTTATTCCTCTGAGCCGTAATAAACGCACATTTCTGCGCAAAAAAACCTTTTGCCTTTGTACTGATGACGCTTCATGTGACCAGAGGGCACGCCAGATCTTCTCATGTGCTATTGGGCTGATAAACACAAACCTGGGCGCTGCATCACATGCTGATACTTTCGGGGGAATGACCATTAAAAATACAACTGCTCCTCCTTTATTGAGTGTTTAAGCATTTTAGAGTATTTTTAAAGATACAGGACATATTTTCCCTCTGATTTAACAGTTCATCAACCCCCCCCATCCTGTTCTGTCCTCATAGGTGTGGTGCTGGTGTGTTTTGAGGGCGACTCCGATGGCTACATCAACCTGGTGGCCTACCCCTACGTGGAGAGCAACATGGAGGGAGGGGCCGGAGAGCACGAGGACCGCGACCCCCCCGAGAGGGAGCAGCCCAGGAGGAAACACTCCCGCCGCAGCCTCCATCGCTCCTCCTCTTCCTCAGAACACAAGGAGGAGAGGCCCGACAGGAGAGAGGCCCACGATCCCGACTCCTCTGAAAAGTGAGATACAGCAGAACCTGTTCCAAATTACTGGATTTTGATAGAATTCATCAGATGTAGCCGTTAAATGTGAGGATTTGATTGTTGAATATCAAGACAAAGATAAATATACGATGGTCTGAAATAAGATTTCACTGACTGGAGAACATATGTTTGAAGTTGTGCTAAAAAATTAGGCTGGTCGTCCAGTGAAGCGACAGGATTATGCCTGTTCCGCTTTTAAGTGTTTGTAGTTTGTGATGCTAGAAAAGCAGCATATTCTAAAACTAATACTGAACAAATTGTAGCACATGGGGAGTACAGAGACACAGCTAACACACATTCAGCATATTGAGTCTTTGGGTTGGGAAAAAATAAAAGAAGGAATCCTTTTAGGAATTTGAAAGGATTTAAATCCATTTTAGATGCCGAGATTAACACAGGATCCCTGTGAAGACCCTCCCGGGGATCCTTTGTTAATCTCAGCATCTAAATTCACTGTAGTAACCGTCATCTTTTCTCTTCCCTGAAGTCTTGCTGAACTGAAGAGTCCCCGGCTCGACCCAAAGATCCACTCCGAGGTTCCCTTCCAGATGCTGGACTGGAACAGTGGTCTGTCTTCAGAGAAGATCAGTCACAACCCCTGGAGCCTGCGCTGCCACAAGCAGCAGCTCAGCCGCATGAGGTCCGAATCCAAGGACCGCAAACTCTTCAGTATCCTTCCCTGAGCCGGTCACACCCGTCCATATTTAAAGGCTGAAAAAGCCCTAAATCAAGATGTTCCTTATGGTAAAATTCATTATATGAAGATCCATTTGCAACTATGAACAGGTATATGGAGAAACATTTAAACAGACCATGAAAGAACACATCTGGATTTAGCTGAAAACTGTCAAACTGGTCCCGGTTAAAATCATGTTCCTGTTAAATCAACTCCCCTCTGACACAAAAGCATCTTCTCTGGGAGAACCACCTGCTTTGGCAGGAGGGGGGTGTATTTTTTTTAAATGATGCGTACAGCACAAGCTGTGGATGTAAACATGAGAGAGTACAGATGAGACGGGGAATAAAATGGAGGCCCGGCGGTGTTTGAGGTTATCGGGTTAAAGTTCATGTTTTGATGTGCGGCTTCAAAGAGAATAGCCTGCAGCTGCTGGAAAACAGCTGAGGAGAGTGTGTGGAGCAGCACACGCTGTGTCCTCTACAAGGTCCGTTTGTCTCCAGTTATATTTAACACGCTCTGGCTGTTATTGAGCAAAACCTCAATAGTTAAGTGATCCACGCAGAGTTTGTCCTCAGGATGTAAATACATTTTCACCAGCATAATGAGCATTCATTGCTATTTGAACTGGCAAAACTATGTATGTGTACCTTTTCACACTTTTTGCTAGCATTCAATTTTACAGTGTATGGACATTTTTACATAATCTCTCTCATATCAAGTTTTGAAAGGAAAGGTTTGGAATGAGTTTCTGAGAAATTTGTTGGATTTTTGCTGTCCTTTTATTCCAAAGAGTGTAGACCACAAGTTAAAGTTGACACATTGTGCAATTTTAGTTTTCAATGAGATTGAATGAGTTCATGAATACAGGATCAATTTTTTTAAATGAATCAGTAAGAACTTCTTTTAAAAAATGTAAAGATAACAGCAATAACTCCCTAGAAGTTTATTTACGTCATCCTCACTAGCTAAGCTGTTAGCCACTGCTATAGAAAAAAATAAGCAGAATGAATCAACCATGAGGAATTGTTCCTGAGAACAAAGTTTAGACTATTAGAGTTGGAACAGGCAAAGATGAAAAACCTTAGCTAAGTCTGGCTGAACTATTCCCCTCAAATGAAGTAAATATTCTAAGCTTAAATCCTCTGAGTCTGCTGCCTGCTCCCCAGTACACATTTCCACCAGGGTGGCCTCTTCTACAGAAAAAGAAATTGTGGTTCAATAAATGAGAAACTTTGGGTAGAAAAATTGGTACTAAAGTATGACAGGGTTATGTTTTTGGGGAGTTTTACATATTAATGTATGCTCCAAAGTACAAAAAACAGTATTTTCTGACATGTTTTTTGTCTGAACAAGCATCTGTGATGTAAAAAGATGGCCGGATTCAGGGAGGATTTCCTCCTTAACCGCTACCCTCTAACCAGAGTTCCTGTTGCTGGAGAACGTGGTTCACCACTTCTCCTACCCCTGCATCCTGGACCTGAAGATGGGCACCAGGCAGCACGGGGACGACGCCTCTGAGGAGAAGGCGGCCCGGCAGATGAAGAAGTGTGAGCAGAGCACTTCAGCCACGCTGGGGGTCCGGGTCTGCGGCATGCAGGTAGGCGTGTGGGCAAACTGAGCGCCATTTTAACTCTGTTTGGGGGGAACTGGGCAGAGAGACACTGTAAAAGCCAGACTACTCGTGCCCATCTAGAAAAGCATTAACGCACTGGCTCGCTACTCAGTTTGAATCGATTTCTTTGTCTCTGTTTTCTCTCCAGAGACATGAATGATCAGATAACGCATTAAAAAATTCAGCCTCATATTACTGCTGCTAGCTCAACATCTCGTGCTGCCAATTCTTCAATATTTACATCGACAGTAGAACCTCTACATACGAATTTAATTTGTTCCGGGACCTACTTTGTATGTTAAAATATTCATATGTTGGTTCAAATATTCCCATCAGAATACAGTGTAATTCCTATAATTTGTTACACAGCCCAAAAACCTACGATAACTCCTTAATAAACACTGCAGATAATTGCACATAGCAATAAAACAAATGCATTATTTAAGAGAAATGTAAAAATAAAGAAATTATAAAGAAATTATCAATAAAAAGGGTTTTTTATTGCACTTATTGGTGAACGGAGGTAGAGGTGGAGACTGAGATACAGGACGTACCCTAACTTACTCTAACATTCCCTACCTGAACTATAAACTAACTTAGCTTATTTCTTTTTATTTCATTTTTCTATTTTATATATATTTTTTTCTCTGACTTAGATATCCTACGTATGTTGAACAAATTTAACTTGTGTTAAAAAGGCAGTCGTAAGTAGAAGTTCTGATGTTCTACTTCTTCCATTGTGACTTACTGAAGCACTATAACCAAACTTCTTTTATTTTGATTTAGATAGGAATAGTTTGAGCTCCTTGCTCTTCAATGCGCGTCCATTTAAGAGCTGGCGGGCTGAGGGTGATGAGGAGGTGTCGTCTTCCTCTCTGTGCAGGTGTACCAGCTGAACACCGGTCACTACCTGTGCAGGAACAAGTACTACGGCCGCGGCCTGTCGATCGACGGCTTCCGCGAGGCGCTCTTCCAGTACCTGCACAACGGGAAGGGCCTGAGGCGGGACCTCTTTGAGCCAATCCTGAATAAGCTCCGCAGCCTGAAGGCGGTGCTGGAGAGGCAGGCGTCCTACCGCTTCTACTCCTCCTCACTGCTCATCATCTATGAGGGAAAGGTGAGATGATGTTGGTTCGTCGGAACAAGGTTTTAGTTTTGCTGTCTTTTTTCAATTGGGCCTCAGTGGGTCATGCTACTGGCAATTACGTGAGATTTTGAATCGGGTCTCTTGTGTCATGGTTTAAATCTTTGTACATGATTAAAATGATGAAAAATTCTGTTGCTCCCATCTTAAACAGCTAAATATGACAAAGAAGACATTAGTCACATATATACATTTATCGGCTGAATTTACTAAGTGTGCCCTTTTTAACAAATATTTTATCAAATTTGAAGAAAAAAAATACTGTCCAGATGCAGAGTTCTGGAATATGTCTTTTGGCTTTGGCTTTAGGTTGTAATTGCAGGGATAAATTATGTTTTTTTAATAAAATGAGACAGGACAGATAAACTAAGAGAGTATCTCACTACATATGAGATGTTTGGCTGATCACACAGTCCCACTTTAAACAGGGATTTTACTTCTTTATTCGTCGTTTTGTCAGTTTATGGCAGTATTTTACCTCCATCTGAACTCTCAAGGGAAAATTATTCCTACGGGCAGGAAACTGTCCGACTGTCCTGCCCTCACACGGTGCGTTTGGTGTCCGCAGGAACTGGAGGGCCCTTCGGCCCCCGGCTCTGGGCAGCACGCCCCCCGGCAGCAGAAGGCCCCGGCGGAGCCCTGTCCCGGTTCCTGCCCGGGGCCCGCCGCCCCCTGTGAACCCAACCCGGGGCCGCCGTCCTCTCAGGGACCCGGACACAAGGCCCAGCCTTCCCCCTCCCCCCGCCCCCCCACACAGGCCCCGCCCACCAAGTCAGACTGCTGCCCCTTTGTGCCCCGCCCCCCGTCGCCCCTCACACACCCGGACGCTCCCTCCCCGGCCCCCAGCTTACCTCCCGCCCCCGCGCCGCCGCCGCCCCCCCCACAGCAGCAGCACCTCCCCCAGGTGGACGTTCGCATGATTGACTTCGCCCACTCCACCTTCAAGGGTTTCCGCGGCGACACGGCGGTGCACGACGGGCCCGATCGGGGTTACGTGTTCGGACTGGAGAGCCTGGTCCAGATTCTGGAGAGCCTTCGAGAGGAGAACCTGCCGTAGCCCAGACCGCACGCCCGCACACACACACACACACACACACACACACACACACACACACACTCACAGTCTGTGCACGCGGGATCAGGGATCGTCAGGACGTCGCCGTGGAACCATTGGCGTTGCCACAGAAACGGCCCGGAGGTGAGACAGCTAAGCCCAAATGGCGACCAAGTTCAGATTTCCACACGGAGAGCCGGCGGCGTCCCCGCACAACACACACACACACACACACACACACACACGCACGCAGTATGCACCTCTATTCTTGTGAGGACCCTCATTGGCGCAGAGCATTCCCTGAACCTAACTCAACCGTCACAGTCGCCTTCTCGCCTCCGTCTGGGTGATGTTTTATTTACAGGATGTGGAGCGGGGACTCCTGAGCTTTGGCCGACGGATCTAATTTCCCTCATCATCTTTCAACCAGAGTGGATGTTACCGCGTCCCCGGCCGTCAGATCAGGAAGAGAAACATGTCACGATTTCTTTAAGAAGTGCTAAAACAAGTGGAAAGAGCACTTAAAAAAAAAAAACACGTCTGTAATGGCAGGATTTAAAATCCAAAAGGGCCAGGGACACGAGGAAGGCGAAGGGAATCAGAGATATAATTATTACAGCTCAGATAATGATAGGGGAATCCAGCCTGATAAAGGCGTCACTGTGCAGAGGTAAAAATAGAAAAGCCTGTCTCTTTGTTCACTGACAGTGTAAGATGTGAAAACTGACAGTGGGCGAACACCTTAAAACTGGCTATGAAGAAGGGAGCCTCTTACGTCCAGGCAAACTAGACCAAAGGAGAGTATTTTATACGTGCTATAACATCCTATAACTTTCCATTTTCAGGATTTGAAAACAGCCATTTATCACATTTGCACTTTTTGAAGCTCCCCAAAAATCCGAGATATACCGCGCCCTCGCTCGTGATGTTTAAAACCCCCAACTGGTCCTCACAAAGATAGACAGACACACTGACACACGCTGGGAACAGCTGGCGGTTTTGCTGTTTGACAGCAGCCGCGGGACAAAGTCTCCTCTCTGACCAACAAGGGAGCTGAATCCCACCCCCCCCCAACGTCCAGTTCACTCCTGCCCTCCACGCTTCCATCCCCACCCCTTCCGGCTCTACAGAAACCAAACCTGGACAGGTGAACGGACTCAGAACCAAACCCAAGCATCCATTAAAGCAATAGCCGGCGATGGGAGATGGGGACTGGTTTTTTCCCGTCGCCCACAGGAAAGGAAAACGGCGACGAAGTGCAGCCGAAAGGAGCGTCCTAGATGTTAGGCCTCAAGGAGAGATGAGAGGTGATTTTTTTTAAAACAGTGTTTGTCCGTCGTTGGGGTTTGATTAGAAAAACATTGATAGTCTGCGTCCCGTGAAATCATCGTCTGGATTGATGCGAGTTACTGGAAGCAAAATTGTCCCAAATCTACTGTGGCACTATGATTTTTATTTCTGTTACTGTTGACAAATCTCACTAAAGAGGGGATGAATTCCTATCTGTGTTGGAGTGTATTCAGTTATGCAGGTACACTATAGCAACAACCAGACAGAAAAGGGACAGAAAACAGCTAATTTGAGGGGATATTTAGTGAAAACTAGTTCCCAGGTGCCTCTGTAAACTTTTTTTATGTAAAGCAAACTACATAGAAAATCCTAAAAGTGAAGTTTGGAGCTCCTCTGGTGCTGCATTTGGTGCTCATTTGTCATTTAAACGCTTAACATTTGTGCTTTAACTGTGACATACCCAGAACAAACCCCTGATTGGTTGGAGTGGGTTTGTCTGCTCGTGGGATTTACCAACAGTAACACAAACAAAGGGTGGTATCAGTTGAATTTATCTGGGCTGGGAGATGTGGCTGAATAACTATTTGATAAGAAAACTATTTTTCTGATACATATTATATGCATATTATTGTGATATTATCACAGTAATGGGAAATCTGTGCTAGAAAAAGAGAATTATTTAATCCTTTTTTTACAATGCAATTCTGTTGCATCGTAAAAAAAAAAACCCTGAACTGCCTCAAAAGTAAAAGTATTTATTTCTATACAAACTCGTCAATGTATTCTCAAATCCTCCTGTAACTGTCAGCAGAATTGGAAAATGTATCCCATCTGGTCTCATCTGGTTGGTCCGGATTAGACGGTGTTGGCCAATCAGAGTTATCCATTTATTCTCGCTTTAAAAACAACGAGGATGGCCTTGATGCATCGCTGCCCCCTGCTGGACAGCAACAGGAACTCCACCCCAGGAGTGTAACAAAGAAAGAGCAAATATGAATATTTTATTTTCTGGTTTATTGAGGTGATAATTTATTTTTTTATTGTACCTTTACTCTTATGTACAGGTAATGTTTTTTGTTTTTTTTCCTTTTTTTTTAATTTTAGCTTGTCTCCCCCTCTAAATGTAGAAAAATGTAAAGAAATGAAGAGACATCCTGTGTGAGACGTCAGGAGTAGAATGAGCAGTATTACCAGAGCTAACTCAGGTCTGTATTTTCTGCTGCTTCGGCCCCAGATTTCAGATTTCGGTCGGCTCGCCGAGTACTTCTGCCTGCTGGGAAACTCTGTTCAATGTGCGTGCGTGTGCGTGTGTGTGTGTGTGTGTGTGCGTGTGCGTGTTCTAAAAGATGTAACCGGCATCTTAAGTCTTTGGTTTTGTTTCACTTCACATTTCTGGAGCTGGTTAAAAAACTGCATGCACATAAACGTCCTCCCGTTCGAGTCCGGTTTCACCATCACGTCCAGCGTCCTCGTTCCAGGCTTCCCAGTGGCCTCTAGGATCATCGTGGATAATTAGCCTCAGTGCTTGATGGGACTTGTAAAGCAGCATTTTATGTTTTTTTTTTGTTTGTTTTTTTGCATCTGACATCATCCTGACTGTTTGTTAGAACAGTGACAGTAAGTGAGATTAAATATTTCCAGAAGCTTTTGCCTCGTGTTGTGATTCCCTCCCGGGTTAGGGTTAGGGTTCCACTTTTCCCTCTGTGATGACGTAAGCAAAAAGGCTTTTTGTCATGTACGACTGAAATATACACATCTGTGTGTGCAAAAGAAAAAGAAACAAGTCTCTTATCTTCTGTTTCAGCTCCTTTAAGATCAACAGAAAAACAATTCTGGATCATATGAAGTGATTCAGATTCTACACTCTACTGTCAGTAGTGTCTCAAAGGTCAGGATATCTTTGTTTAGCGTCCTATTTTGTACCGAAAGGCCTCTTTTGAGCAAAACATCTTAAAGTTGGAACACTTCAGAGGTCCTCTTATCTTATCTTTATTTTACCCGGTGACAGAAATATCCAATTCCCAAAAACAGCTGGTAAAATATCAACTTTAAAAAATTATTTTTAAGGGCAATTCAGCCTGAAATCTACTTATCAAATATGAATAATATGTTTTAGGTTTTTAATCCTTTGAATGCAGGGATGCTTACAGACTCCACTGCATTTTGCTGGAGAAAGACTTAGTAAGATAATCTCCATAAAACTGAGTGTCATTTTCATTAGATAAGTCGTGATTGGCAGCTCTGATTTCCTGCATTTTAGCAGCAGGGAGCAGCTAAAAAAAGTGGCATTTTGCTGCAGCTCAGTGGTAAAAAAGTAGCGCCATCTGGTGCACAAAGGTGAAAGTTTCCTATTCAGAAAATGATCTAAAATTATATTTTAACATAGAGGAGGATGTTATCTGATATAAACATAAATACGGGGTCATATATGTATTTTTTAAATATTTTTTAGTGGGTTACTCTGGGCATATATAAGGAATTTGTTTTACCCACAGAGGGTTAGATGATGGGTTCCATGACCTAAGTTTCCTTTATAGTTTCTTTTCAGTCTTCTTCCATTAATCAGATTCAACGTATTCATTTCTTTAAGGAAAATATCTTACAATCTGTAAACCTCTGGAGAACACAGATTTTTTTTTATATTGGAGGACTTGATAGATTATGTACAGAACAAAACACTTGAGCCTTAGTTTTATTTTTTCCCAATTTAATTCGAATTGTAAAAACAAATCCAGCTTTCATGGAATACATTCATCTTTTCGCATTTCTTTCTATTTTTTTTCTCACTTTTACTGGAAAAAAAAATTGACTGTACATGTGTAAACAAAGTAAACATGAAACCATTTACAAATGAATATGCAGAAAGAAGTATTGGCACTTTTAAACGTACACTTATGTGTTATTTTGCTCAGAGTAGTGGTTGGAACTTTGATCATTTGGTTTAGGAGAGCTAGAAATTTGGCATTTGTAATGAAAATGAGGCTTTTAAGCAACCAAAAGGGTTTTTTATCTGATGGGAAAAGGGACACTTCCTCAGAATAAGAACAGATGAGACTCTTTACGCTCTTTTGGAGGCCTCAGCGTGGCCCTTCTGGCCCAGCAGGTCGTACTCCCGGTACTGGACGTAATCCTTGAGCCGCTGGGGCAGAGGCAGGAAGCTCATGAAGACGGGCGAGCGGAGGCGGAGGCGGCCGAGGCTCCGGCGGATCCGCAGCCGGCACAGATGCTGCAGGCAGCGGGCGTTCTCTGGACAGCGAAGAAAAAAACGTGTGAATTAGTTTTTTTATTTTATTTCCCTCACCCTCTCAGAGCAGACGAATAACCACTGGTTCACCGAGCACTGCGCAGATGTCCGGCCACTGCTTCTGGTCCATCAGGGCGGCCTTCAGCTTGGAGCACAGGGTCACGTGATCCACGTAGTCCAGCAGGACGCGAACCACGAAACCCGACAGGTCTTTGAGCCAGTAGACGGTGATGACCTCGCAGAACTGCTCTGGCACACAGCAGAGCAGCTTTCAGTGGGATGTAAAAGCAGCAGAGCAGCAAATCATCCCCCAAAAAGCAGAGCGAAGCAGTTCCTGGAAGAAGACAACTGGAATACCCGGCTCCTGAAGATGTTCTCCTCTCAACCTAAAGGCTCTAAACTGCATAATGGGGAGGATAAGATTATATAGATATAGAGAATTCCCACCGTTAGATCCTCCAACTGTCAGAAAACATGTTTTCTCCTGTTCTTCCTCTTCTTCTAGGACAGTATTGTTGGGTCCAGAAGTCATTGATGATTTTTTATAAATGCCCAGTTGGGATTGCTCAAAATCTGAAGCACTTTTGAGTGTGGATGCTCTGTTTTCCCTGAACCTAATACGCACAACTGTGTATCTCATGTTTAGACTAGTGATGAGTCCTCTTCAACTTACACTGCGCCGGCAAGAGATCCATGAAGAAGACTGTGACCTGGAAGAATTAGAATTTTTTTTTTTCTCTTACCATCGTATCTTTGATCACAGAGCAGGTCCATCCCTCGAAGTCCTCGGGGATGTGGGAGCCGTTGCCATAGGGACAGTCGAAGCAGCGCTCCACATCGTAGCCAAAGTTGCACAGCATCCTGAGAACCACCTTAAAAAAACAAACACCATCTTAGCTAAACTGGACTCACAGAGAGGGGACGGCTCTTTTTTCAGTTTTGCAATGGTGGAAATAAAAGCAACAATCTTTCAATCGAGGGTAAATCCTCGCAAAGAAAACTCTTTCACCTCGTCTTTGAGAGCATACTGCAGCGCTGAGGGGAAGTGCGTGGTGTTTATCTTGCAGAAGTAGTTGACGTTGGCTCCGTGACGCAGCAACAGGTTGATCAACTCGTAGTTGCCGAAACGCAGGGCGACCTGGAAAGTTAGAATACCGGTGGCAACCGCTTCTAATAGTTAAAGCACCGGGTCATAACTTCAGATAACAAATATTCATGTTTATATTCATCGAAAAATGAGAAAAAAATGCAGAAGCGGAGGGTGAAATAAAGTCTAACCCACAGTTCAACAGCATGTGAACCACCTGTGTCAGATCCTCTCTATTTGCAGGTAGTTTGTACCTGTTGTTCCATCGTTTCCTTCCTTGTCCCCTGACCTCTTATTCCAAGGCCCCTCATTCCCAATTTTCATTCGATTTTTGTTACTTTTTTTCCTACAAAGTTTGTTTTCTGTTTTTTAGCTTGGCTGAGAAATTTTTCTTAATTGATAAAACTTCCATCTCTTCCCTCTCCCCATTTCCAACGCGGTCCTGATCGAGTCGTGTTCGTCTCAGGATAAGAATCATTTCTCCTTGCGCGGAGCCAAACCTGCAGACATTTGATGGGGTCCTGATTGGCCATGGCTCCGGACTCCAGCAGCAGTTTGGCTGACGCCAGGTCGTTATTGGAGACGGCGAAGAAGAGAGCCGACTTCCTCTCGTCGTGATAGCTGTGGCGGATCCAGGGATCCAGCATGAAGTTGGGGTCGTAACCCTCATCCAGCAGGGCCTGATGGGAGTTTTAAGAGGGACATTTGCTAATGACACTTATATAAATGAGTGAAATAAGTCTTATATTAATGATATGGATGTCTGGATTTATGTGTAATGTGGACAAACAGTTTTCATATTTAGTCCAGTTTCATCCCTGATTTCTCTGATATTTAATCACTTATTTAAATATAGAAAGGATGGTGTTAAGTCTGTGTACCTGTGACACCAAACAGTTTGCCCTCGGCAAAGGTAAACCCAAAAAATCCTTCTTTCTTCAGAGGGTTACACACCTTGATGCAGTCTGTGTGTCCCCCGGCGGCGGCGGAGTGGAGGGGACTCATCCCGCTGTCCTGCACGTCCGCTTTGGTGGTGACCGGCAGCAGTAGCCTCAGCGCTCTGGGGAACACAGGCCTGTGTGTGTTAGTGTTCACACAACCTCTATGCGAGGGGAAAAAAACACACAAATGACACGGAACAGACGGAGGCCGCCAGCCTCCAAACGTCTGGGAATGGATGTGGGATTTGTGTTGTTTACGAGCCTGAAAGAATAGCGTTATTTCTACCGAGAGCAGCTTAGTGCTTTTATGGCCTCCTGCAAAATAGAAAAAAAAATTAAGAAAATGTACACACGCATATTCCTGTAAACACACAAATTGCACAGGCTTTGCAATGTAATCCCACTCAAGCGTATTTTGGTCCGTCCTCCTCATCCCTCCTTTTTATTTAATCTTGTTTGCCCCTAAGAGCTTTGAGGCAGGTAATTGGGGCTCATTTATTTCCTTTACTTTGACCATCTTGCCAAGCAGATAAAGAAGATGTGTGTGTCGCCACTACTTTGCTTAGTATACTACATTACTTTGTTCTAGTAGCATTAAAGTGTAATCTTTATGTGTAATTTATATATATATATAGATAAATGTGTAAACATATATTTCAAATACACACGTTTATAACAAGAAAAAGAACTGTGGGCTGAAAAAAAAAAATCTATAATCAGTGTTTCCTTTGATTTATCAAATCAAGATTGAATTGTATTAACAGATAGTTATCTTATTATTTCTTATTAGGATTAATTATGTATCAGTAGCCTGAACGGATGCTTTAATCAATATAAAGGGCGAAAATACTGAATGAAAGATATGTGACTCAGGGGGAACAAATGCTGATGTCAGCCTCAGCCTCAGAGGGCGGATGCTGCTAAAACCCACTGGAGGTGTCCGTGGTGTGCTGCCCGGTGGATGGGCATGTGGCCGGTGTGCGTGGCCACGTTGGCGTCGGCGCCGTGCTCCAGCAGCAGGCTGATGAGGGCGGGGTCCCCCAGGGCACACGCCTCGTGCAGGACGGAGGCCTCGTCCTGGGCCTGGGAGAGCACGTCTGCGCCTGAGGGGCAAAAAACAAACAAAAAAAACAACAAATCCCTGTTAGGGGGGGCCGCCCTGTATGGGGAAACATCTGTCTGTGGTCTGGATTCCCCCCTCCCCCATCACCCGTGTTACTACTCTGCTACAATTACAACTACTGCTCATGTCATATTGCTATTATTACTACATTATTATTACATTATCATTACCATTACTATCAATATCTGTATAGTTTTCCCTCTCCTCCCACTGTCCTTCTCTCCCTCTCTCTCTCATGCCCTCTCTGTCTTTAACCCCCAACCGGCTGAGGCTGATAGCCCCCCATGGTTCTGCTCGAGGTTTCTTCCTCCTAAAGGAAGTTTTTCCTTCCCTGTGTCGCCTAGTGCTGCTTTTGTTGGGCTTCTATAAATGACCTGCTCCGTGTGGAAAGCTGTGAGTTAACTGCCGTTGGGATTTGAATCTGGTCTGAGGGTCACCCTCCCACCTCTCCTCAGGAGGATCTCCACCACCTCCAGGTGCCCCCCCTGAGCGGCCAGGGCCAGCGGGGTCAGGCCGTAGTTGCTGCGGGGGTCCGGCCGCGCGCCGGCCTCCAGCAGCAGGGTCACCAGCCCGGCGTTGCCCAGCCGCGAGGCCTCGTGGAGCGGGCAGCGGCCGTGGCAGCCGTCCTGGTTCACCCTGGAGCCCCGCCGGAGCAGCAGCTCCACCAGGTCCACCCGGTCTGAGCGAATGGCTGCGGTCAGAGAGGCAGAGGGGCTTTACTCAGGACAGGGCAGCAACTTTTTCATTTTTTAAATGTCATTAAGAAAGCCTAAACTACTTCAGGTTTGACTGATGGGTCTGAGGATCTCTGTAGCAAACATTGACTTATCCCACTTAAACCGTAAACCTTATTTTTTATGCATGGATTTCTTCATCTAGACAGCTTCAGATCTAACCCACAACATTTTAAATTTCAACATTTTAAATATGTCCCCTGTTGTTGACCTCCTTTACAGAGAACCCATAAACACAGATTTCCATGTCTGTGTTTTTATTATGAGATTCTGAGAAGTAGATTTAGACTCTTCACAGTTTAGATGTGATTTTAGCTGTGAGCTCTTTCAGGCTTTGTGGGAATACGAGATTATGGGTCTGTGAGCAAACTGTGAACCCCACTTTCAGTTAGAAACGGTGACTTCTGATTATTCCAAATTAAGACCTGAAAGCAAGTAGAAAGACTGAAGGAAAAATCAGCGAACTCGGTCCTGTGCCAGATGTTTAAGCGTCCTGAGTTAGGACCGGCAGGTTCAGACTTCCAGATAAGAAATCTGGCCTACTCAGGCCTACCTACGAACAGCGGGGAGTCCTGCTCCAGGTCGTGGGCGTCCGGCAGAGCTCCGTGAGCCAGGAGGAAGGCGGCGTTCTCCATCAGGCCTCGCTCCACCGCCAGGTAGAGCGGCGTCCGGCCCTCGGGGGTGCGGCCCTCGGCCGACCCCGGGCCCGAGGCGAACGTGAGCTCCAGGACAGCGGGGTTGGTCTGGGCCGCCGCCTCGTGCAGGGGCGTCCAGCCGCGGGCGTCCGTCCGCAGGAACCCGTCCTTCTGGCCGGCGCACAGCTCTCTCAGGAGAGGCTCATTACCTGGGAGAAGGGATGGAAAAGTTTTATTGGCACTGGCTCAGAAAACACTAGATTTAACAGTAACACTAACTCTAACCCTAACCCTGACCACACTATTTATCTGGACTTCTTCTTCTTCTTCTAGGCTCTTGAGGACATTTCTCCTCTCATCCCAAAGGCTTCTTCAGTTCTAAACTACAAGGTGGAGGGGATGTCAGCTTGTAATTCAATTCAATGTTATCTATATGGCACCAAATCACAACAACAGCAGTTATTGTCTGAAAGGCTGTGTCCTACCTCCCTCTGCATCCTCTCTGGCCTTGCAGAGGCAGTAAAAGGCTGTGGGCCCAATACGGCTCCAATTCGCTGAACAGGTAAAAACATGTGGGGGTGTGCAGGAAGCTGGCCTGATCCAGCTTCCAGGAGCTCAAACAACTGTATTTTTCTTAGATCTCTAGTGTTTCTTTAGCCCATTAAGCCGGGTCACTGAGTGTCTGTCATTTTAGGTGCAGGAAGGCAAAAACTGACCCCCCCCTCCTCTGTTTAAAGTTGCTTTTTCCAGTTGACTACAGATGGATTCCTTTACACCAGTTTCTCCGTGTTCCATTCCCGTTCTAAATAACGTGTGAGGTTCAGGTCTCACCTTGTTTTATAGCAGTGAAGATCTCATCGATGCCCTCTGACTTTGGTTTAGCGCTGCGTGAAATTAATCCACAGACAATTAAAAGCAGAGTATTAAAACTGAAAAAAAAGAACTGTAAAGGTTTAAGAGTTTTAATGTTAGAATGAAACCAGAGCCAGAGGTGGACAGCTGTGTTACAAATGTATTATCTAGAGGCAGCATAACCTAAAGCAGATTTACTGTTTTGTTTTGTTTTGTTTTTTGCAATTGGCTTTCAATTTTCAGAGCCTGTTTCAGATTGCTTTTAGTGACATTTTTGCTTGTTAACCTAATCATGATGGTCTCCAAACAGTTAATTTACCTATTCATTTATCATCTGGTGAAGCCTGACCTCCCCACACAAACGGGTTACTTCGTCATTACACAATAATTAAAGATAATATTTAAAGAAGAAGGCGAAGTTTATTTGACACATTTTCCTAATATTCATTGTCTTTGAAATGGGTTTTTACTGTATAAAACAGTTATTGAAAAAATGAAGAACTCTGAATGGAAACAGAACTTCCTGAAAAAGTCTGGGCTCTGCCGGACCGACCTCCGGTCATCCTGAGCCGCTGGGTCTCGGGGAGTTTCCTTCTGTTTGCTGCTCTCCAGCAGACTTTGTTCGATCATGAACTGTGTGGCCGCGTCGCAGTCATCGTCATCGTCATCCTCCAGTCCCTGTCCACCAAACTCCATCTGGTTCTCACTCTGTTCAAAAGGCCGAACGTTTGGGTCAGCAGCACGTTTCTGAGGAATGGAGCGGAACGGTTGCATCAAGTGCATACACCCAAACTGGTATTATTCTGTTGTAAATGGACAAATGTTATACAGAAAAAACAATAAAAACATTAAGCGTTAGGACTGGACTCAGTAGAAGACTCCACTTCTCTTCCAGAGTCTAGGAGCTGTGACTGGAGTTGGGCTCATTTTACAGAAACGATGGAAACCGGGATGTTTGTGTGGCTTCCTCACAGCCAGACGTCTGAATTTATTATCAAGCCAAAGAGGCCACAGAGACACCAACAAAAGACCACAAATATGAAGTAAGTTTTGAGATGTTAGCTGACAGTTACTATCAAACCCTCTGTGCACTTCAGGATGTTTTCAGGCACAAAAAAGTTTGTACTAAAGATCTGATATGCTTCAAAAGGAGTCAAAAGCACTTTTAAAACATCTTTTTTTAAGAAATGCCCACAAATCTAAAACAGATGAAAAAGTCTGAATGGAGATGGTGAAAGTGCATGTACAGTATTAATAACGTCCATGCAGGGCAGGAAAAAGTGTCGTAAACCCCGAAATTTGAAGACAAGCAGTTTTCCTGATTTGAACCAAATTGTTTTTAAGGGCAACATATGAATAATAAACCCTGAGAAACATTTGATCTGGGGTATCTTGTGGCAGAAACTGCTTGTGTTGGTCTTTACCTTGTGGTTTTGTGTTGTCCCCGCTGTTTCAAACTTCTTGTTGTTGTGGGAAGACTGAAACCGGAGCTTTATGGGTTCTTCCCAGGACTTCTGTGACTCCCAGATCCTCCAGAAAACTTTTCAAATGCTTGACCGGGAAAACCCTACCCGAGATTTATTAAACAGGCGTAAAACGTGCAAATCAATCCTCAGAGACTAACAGAGATCTCCGTGTTTTCCCTGTGTGGCTGAGATCTGACACCCGTTACTAAACTTAGCTGCTCCACGTGAGAGCTGATGAGCACAACATCAGTGCAGCACGGCCCCGTCCCTCGGGCTGGTTCGCCCGGACTTCGTTCTCGAATTGTGTCTTTGACAGTTAAATGCACAATGGCTGATAAGATCCTATCAAAACAGTAACTGGACTCAGCAGTTAACCATCACAGCTCCTGAGGACAAACCCTTCTGCACTTCTGTCAACTGCAGCCAAACTCAGGGTGGATAAAGGGAAATTGGTTAAGATTTTTACCAGACGACTACAGCCATAAATTTCTCCTATTTTTAAAATGTTTTTAAACCAAAGGGTCAGAAAATAAAAGGCCACTTTGACAGGTCAAATGGAGGCTGAGGAGTCTGAAACTGATCACACAACACTGTCGGAGTACAACTGAAAACATCTTTATTTCATTTTCTGCCTTCGCTGTTTATGATCTGGGTCTCTCCTTCTTGCCTTTGTACAGCGCCAGCAGAGACACGTTGGCCACCTTGACCACCTTGAAACGAACTCCAGGAATGTCACCCACGGCGTGACCTTTACGTCCGAAACCGGCCACCAGAACTTCGTCGTTCTCCTGCAGAAGCACAGCAACGAGAGCTTTGGTCAAAAATCTGTGGACTCATTTCCATGCTCACAAGTGTTTAGACAGGCCAAATCCATTGGATGTAATATATATTGATAAATGGACGGAGATGCACATGGTGGAAAATCCCAGTTTGGGCAAAGTCTGCTGCAGATTCAAAGACTGGGATCAACACCTATAAGTGCATGTTGGGCGGGAAGAGAGAGAGAAGTTGCCGTTTACCTCAATAAAGTTGAGGCAACCGTCGTTGGGGACGAAGGCTGTGATCTTCTTGCCGTTCTTGATGAGCTGAACTCTCACGCACTTCCTGATGGCAGAGTTGGGCTGCTTGGCCTCCACACCACTGCAGAGAGAAAGGACGACACTTTAGACCAGTTCAAACCCAAACTCGGAACAAATCCTGCTCAAAGTCTGAGACAACGTAGTGGAGTTGTCTCTGATGGCTGTTCAACTGTGTGAGCTGGCAGTGAGGAAGGAGGCCGACATCTGACAACAAGGGCTTTAAAGAGTACAAACGCTTCATCACGAGAACAAAAAAGGCTGCACACAAAGATCCAAATCAATTTGAAAAGGTTCTGTCTACTGTAAAAACCTTATCAGAGCCAGTAACACATCTGAATTACAGAAATCCAGATGAGTATCTTCTGGTTCTGAAATCTTTAACAGACTCCAGAGACTATTTTCATCAAGAAAAACACTTAGAAATTATCAGCAGACTACTCTGCATACGTAATTGGATCTTTTGAATCGCGTAATTAACAACCAATACTGAAAACTAATGATCTACATAATCAAATCATCCTCTCATTTTGACATAACCAAGCTACTAATGTATTCAATTTTCAGGCAATGTTCCACTAAATCCACACAGAATGAATAGTAGGTTATTCAGGGCCTCTCATTTGTCCTCACATCCCAGAGCAGACGAATGATAAACAATTTAAACTATAATAGATTCTAATATTTATAAGCGCATAGGTTCAATGCAAAGTTAATACTGGCTTATTGTGAGTGCATAGTATCTTGTTTATCTCAAAACTGAATAGGTAAACCGTTATAATCTTGAGTTCATCATTCTAACCACACATGCTGCCCGTTGTCTCCCCTTCAACACCCCATAAGTTTGTCTGGTTCCACTGTACTCACACTTTCTCGAGGACGATTCCCTTGGCATGAGAAGCTCCTCCGAAGGGGTTAGCCTTCAGAGCTGTGCCCAGATGGGCCTTCTTGTACTGCTTGTCATGCCATTTCTGCTCACGGCGGTGATTGCGGAGCTTCCTGGCGGTACGCAAACCACGACACTTTCCTGAAAGACAAGGACAGGCAAAAAAAAATTATCAGCCACCTTTCTGAATCAGGTGTGTTGTAGATGAAAAACATGTAGGTCTTGAGCCTAGAGGACAAGGGGTTGGGAAACACTGAATTAAAACATAAAGATTGACTTTAAAAAGATCTTCAGCTACTTTTACAGCTACATCTCAAATTGCCGTGTATACCAAACCGACTCACGGTAATTATTAAACAACACGCTAAAGGGCAAATAAACAGCTGCAAATTACCTGTGATAATGACCAATTGTCCGTGTAATGTCAACTTTAAGATATTTATGCTATCATAAGAACAAACAAGGCTACCTGTAACCGGCACCGAAGAGGAACAGAAAAAAATCTATGAAACAACAACTCAAGTTTCAACTAAAGCGTCATTTGACTTTCACTATGAGACATTTAAAACAAATCGGGAGCGATTTAAACAAATAAATGGCTATTTTTCGCAAAACTAGCACAGCTAACACGCAGCTAGCCGCTCACACATTATGGCGGCTCCACGTTGCGGAGACGCATCACCGTATAAACTACTCATTTCCAACTCCTTCGTGGCATTTAACCGACACAAACATAAACACAAACATTTGTAAGATAGTTATACTCGACGTCGATACAAAAAACTGACACAACAGACCGATTTATTGAGTATTTAGAGTGAAATCAGGGACGTACCCATGATTGCAGAAGCGAGCCTGGGATGGAAAGGAAGGACCCAGCATGCACTGCGGTAAAATCTACATTCAGGACCCCGTGTGGTTGTGAATACGAAAATGCCTGACTGAAATGACCGATTTATGTTTGACAGCTTTTATATAAATGCATCTTTCTATATCTATTAATTTATATTTAAGTCCCTGTAGAGTAAACGAAAGGGGAAAGTGTTTGGTATTTCATATCTTTATGTATGTACATGCCGCGCATAAATGCACCACATGCTGGTAGATTTGGCAGAGGTTCGCATCCTTTTATGCGCTTTGCATGAACAAAACTTAAGTGAAATCCACCAGAATTAGACATTTCATCTTATGTTATATGTTCATGATCTTAAGATTTTACAATGTTCTTTGAACACAGTGTTTTTCTTAATTAATCAAACGGACATCACAGCTCATCCCAGAATTGCCCTGATGGGATATAATTATCAGCATTATGTTTTATAAATAGTTCCAGTGATGTGTTGTGTGTTGAGAATAATAAATCATAGTGTAAATGTATTCAACTACTTATTAAATATTAATTTTATTTATTATTACCCCCTCCCCCTCCCCTCCAGGATCTCAGATATTTGGCATGAAAAAAACATATCAGGTAAGTACACTTGCTTTTTCACCCTGTCTGTGGAGCAGCTACACATACAGTATCATATGCATCTTTGTCCATAAATATCCTGTAAATCCTGGATAAACCATGGATAATAGTATATAATGCTTATGTGTATATTTATCTAATCTGTAGACCATTTAGTTACTCCTAAAGGTCATATGATAAACCTTTCTAAAAATATCTGTTTTGAATTTTGAAACTCATTTTTTTCAGACCAATTTTAGGTGATGCTGATACCTCATCCAAAGGTGAATATGGATGCCAGCTTTGACCCCCATAGATTTATGTAAAAATTATAAACTGAGTAAACGATACCACGTTGACAAGATTGATATTTAGATTTCAAATTACTTCCATATTTTTAAGCCTTATGTGACAGGCTTTTGATGAATCAGTGTAGATCTGACTATGATCATCAAACTGCTCTGGATATATGTCAAAGGTGCATGCAGATAATCAGTCATGTGGGGGATCTTTAATAATCAGTGGTGAAAGTGTTTAATGTGAAAACCACAAAGTGTTTAACCAGTGGGTGGAGCTTGCTCCAGCATTTAATTCCTGCTCTTTTCTGATTGGCTGATCCTTCAGTCCATCCACAGGGTTTATAGCCAGTGGGCTGATTTAAGTAGATTAGGATGTAGAGGGAGTGTGTGCTGGTATCACACTATGGTCAACACAGCGATGGCTTCTCCGTGGAAACGCTTCTGCATCCTCCTCCTCCATCTGCAGTCGTGTGTCTGCCTCCACCGACAGCCTGCTGACAGGTAACCGTAGAGACAGATGTGTGATGTTGCCCTCATTGTTCACTGTGCTCGTTCTCTCCTCTGCTGCTCTGCAATCTTTGACTCTTGACATGTTCACCTCCAGCATCGCTGGTGTAATGGAGATTAGCTGACTCTTATCATCATTCAGAGCTGGGCTCAAATGTCATTGTTATTCTCCATTTTTGGGGGACACAGGGAAAAGCTGAATCCTTTTTGAGGTCCCTGTGGCTAATGTGTTAGCAAGATTTCTTCATTCAAATCTAGAAGGCACGGACGACATTATTCCACTGTCTTATTTACTGTCCACCTGATTAGTTACAGCCCATTTTGAATCTTCTTCTTGTCATAACTGTGAGAAAACAATACACCTGTGTCCGTTGGGATGGAAAAAACCTGAAGTAGACATTCATTATGCAGTAAAATCGACAGAAAAGGGGCATTGAATCACACTCTGAAACCATTAATAATGATGTCGCCACATGATTGCTTTCTCTGAACTAAAAATGGGAAAGAATCACTTATCAATGACAAAATCCTATGAACAGTTTAATTTCAGGATCAGATCTTCACATTTTCAAGTACAAGTTAAAAATATCAGGTTATAATGTAACCATCGTAATTGATATTTCATTCATGTTTTTGTATCTTCCAAAAAAATTCAGTCTGAGTGAACAGAATAAAGCTGCTGCAGACATGTTTTTCGTAGGTCGATTGTTATCCTTAGAAATCAGGGCAAGTGATGGCAGATGCACTAGGCCAATTTTAAAATGTCCTTTTTGAATTTTGCAGCATCACAAGCTTGAATCTTTTGCATGATTTTCACAAACAATACAATTTGACTCCCCCACAAAAGGAGAAACACAGATGTTGATACAAAAAAAAACATATGCAGAAATAAGGAAGGACAGTATTCAGTCATTTATGTGTGTATCATTTTTTCTGGATTATTTTTGTTTTGTTTTTGTGGAAGAAAGGGCTCACCTGATATCTGATTTCTCCAGAATGGCTTTAAAAAATATATGATAGGATCTGTTATCACAATGAAAACAATGTTTTTATATTTTATTTTATATTTATACATGATAACTCTTTTTTTTTGCCTGCGGAGCATACCTGCTGAACACTGCCCAGCTTCACAGCGGCTGTGACTTTGGTTCGGACTATAAACTGTAGATTCACTTGATAAGCTTAGTAATTTGATCTAATCAAACTAAAATTAGATACACAGTTATATGGACTCTCTTCCACCCTGCTCTCAACAGCTTTCAGAAATAAGAAGTTAAACAACTTCTTACTTGTGACAAATAATTATTTAAAAAATCACCTCCAATCAGCTTTGTATGTTCAGCTGTTGACTGATGATATTTGAAGAAGAGCCAAAAATAAGTACATTTCTCGGTCTACCTCCTCTCACAATTACTTAAATTTGTTATAATTGAGTTGTTTGACTATTTTCAAAAAAGCACTTGATCTCCACAAGCTGACAGACATATTACATGTTTTCCCTTTGTGTAGTTTGTTTTAAGAGGTCAAGTTAAAAACAGGAAGTGCGCTGAACTGCCAATAAAATTTGCTCTAAATCAGCTTGTATTGATTGTCACCAGTTCTCTTCAGTGGTCAACATTAAAAGCTACTATGTCATGACTTTGGTTTTCCTCCATATGACTGACTAATAATGACATTGATGGCTCATTCTCTGCTTTTTTAAAACTCTGACACATACCCGTCTGTGACAATACATTAACACGTGTTCCACTGATCTATAGTCAGAATAATTTATTATACCTGCTCTGTTTATTAGAAAAATTAGCAATAATTTAAAATGAATTTGATCTATTATCATGATGTAAATGAATTTGAAACAGCTGTGACTATTTACAGACAAAATAAAAATGATTCTGAACAAGCCACTAGATGCTAATAAGATCTTAAACTTTAAAAACATTGGGCATCTCTTTTATCCCCACCTGCTCCAAACTTTTCCATTGATGTTTCATTTATAAACTTAATACCTAAAATGGATCTGATCATCATCTTTTTCACTGAAATATCAATCTTTTGACCTCATAAACTATAAATGCTATCATGTTCCAACCGTATCACTTATTTCCAATCAGTTCAGCTCACTCAATCGTTCTTTTTCTTTCCCATAATCCTCTTTGTTCCCATTGCCTTTTAACTCCCTGCTTGCCTTCTACTGGACAGCCTACAAGCTTACTCTGAATTTTAAATGGCTGCATCTTTCTGCGTGGTTTTATACATTTGGGTCAACCTTCCAGCTTTAGAGAAAGAGTGACACAGAAAACAGAACAGAACTATGTAGATCACAATCAATTTAGTTTCCCTTCACCTGACACTTTCAGAATTAATTTAGAGGTTAAATCATCTAATTTAGGGAAGTGATACCTTTTTCATGCAACTGATATTTGTTGGCACATTTCCGTGCTTTAGCTCTGAGTCTTTTGAGTAATTTTACTTAATCCGTTCCCTCTGCAGTTGGTAAATTATGTATTTTGTCTGTGAAGTAGAAATGTCTCCACTGGAGGTTGTGTTTTGGTTCCATTTAACCAAAGTCCATAAACACAGGCACAATAGGATGATAACTTATGCCATGTGTCGTCTTGACGTGTGCTCAGGCAGATGTTTGTAGGATGTTATTTTAAAGATTAAGAGGCTGCAAAATCTCCTTTTGGCTGAGACTTATCCCTTGCTTCTTATAATCTGTGGGCACTCATGATTGTATGATTATATAATCACTACAATCCTGAAATCCGCAGTCCACTGCTCCGACCCAGTGTGCAAGATCAGCTAAACCTTGTTTTGTCTGCAAGGATTAGTCCGCCGGAGTAGATTTGACCGCTCTATTGTCTTTTTTTTCTGACCAATGTACATTTTATAATACATTTAATGAAAGGCAAAAGCCCCCAAATAGAGATGCTGTTTGCATTTGCTCATGTTTCTTAGATTAGGTTATCCACTACAGGACAACCTGGGCAGGTCATTCAGCTACCTGAGTTCATGCACGGTCATCTACAATCAAGCACAATTTAATGTTTTATTTTAAATTTGTTATCAGAAAAAACATGGCAAAGGTCAATGATGAAGTTATTCATTACAGATAATGACAAAATCCTTTTAATAGAAATGTTTGGTTAATGTTAGCTTTAACTAGATTGCCCCTAGTGACTGAGGCTGTGGGTGTGTGTCGTTGTTTGTCTCTATGAAAAACATTTGGATTTAAATATTATGTTATAAACCAGTTAAAAGCAATAACTACTTTTCTGGGTTTTCTGTCGTACAAGGATTATCGCACTCAATAATTTGCTGAAAAGAAAAATCTCTTTTTTCTTTAGTGCTGTGGAGTTCATTTTTCAAAAGTTGAAATAACAAACTATTTCCGATGGAAGATGCTTGTTACCCTTAGATGACAAAGCCAGCCATGGTGCTTTTTGTAATAACTGAAGTGTTAAACTACTGCCTTTCATACGGCAACAGACATCTAACGCCAAACTTTTTGTCTGGAACGTGGCTGCCATATTTATTGTTGTGTTCAAAGCGCTGTCCATGGTGCTGAACACGTCAAACAGAGGTGCATCACAGACAACGTTCCCCTTTGCTGTTGCAACTTTCTATGTTGCTAACTTGTTAACCACAAATAATACTTGATATTTCTAATATAGACATAGATTTCTGGGACAATTTTTGTCTTCTGTGATGTGCAACGTGACCTTTTTTTCCATTGGAAAAACCTGCCCTTGAGACAATATGGCGGCTTTCAGGATGGCAGCCTTGTTCTGGACAAAGCCTAAAAGACAGACCTCCCCTTCCCCAGTTTTTTTTAAAACTCAGTTTCTATAGTTCTTGTGATTGGTGGGAACATGTGATGAATACATATTTGATTTTAAGCTAACATAAAGGATTTACCAAAGGATTTTGGTAATGATTTCACTTCGACCACCTCCCGAGTTCCTGTGTTTTGCAAGGCGCTGCCTGTTAAGCACTATTTGACCTAAAACATGTTGGTGTAGATTCTCAGTCATCCAGCTCATAGTAATCCTAAAAGCTTGACTAAAGGCAGCAGGACTTCTTCTTGATTTGACCTAAAACACGTAGGGTAAAACAGGCCAAAATCAAAGTTTAAACTCTTTTTCCTTTAAAGTTAACAGAGCCGGAATGGCAAGAAAGGACATTTTCCATCTACTGGCCCCAACATCCTAGTTGCTTTCAGCTGTGTCTCATAGTGGAGTTGCTATGTTGGACAGGACAACAGGTGGAGATGGTGTGGCTGTTAACAGGTGGAATAGCAGGTGATTACGCCATGCTCAGAGATGGTATCAGGAGCAGTTTACTGCTGAGCAGCTCCCACTGCTCAGCTGTTACCTTTACAACAACAGAGTATTAAGTCGGAAGTCCCTTTTTAGCCCAAAATGCATTCGCAAAAAAAAGACAGATAAATCTTCAAGCTTAAGAGATTAACCAAAATTTGAAGGTATTTCTCAGATGTGATCTGTGCCTGAAGACTACCCAAGCTTTAGATCTTTAATATTCTAATGAGTATTTAAAGATTTTCCCTTTCAGGTCAGAGAAAAATAATGGAATTGTTGAAATGTGTGAAAGATCCTGCTGCTGCTCACCTAGCTCGCAGGTTTAAAAAGATAGACATTTAGCAAAAGAAAGCAATGATGGGATCTGCTGTTGGGCGTTAAGCTGATTTGATATAAAAATGTGGTCATTTGTTTGCAATTTCAAGTGTTTGTGTGTTATGTGGGTCAGAGAGGGTTGACTCGGCAACGGCACATCTCTGTGCCAGATTGATCACTAGTGTTACTTTAACTCTAATCCAGCAGGTCACCAGCTGGGTAACTGGACTTCCACATGCACTCTGAACGATTCACCGGCTCGTCTTCTGTTTTTGATGTTGTTCATTCATCTTAAGTAGTTGTTTTGATATCATTCTACGTGCCTGAATACATTACATTATCATTATCAGCGGGTCAGAATGAGGTCACTTGATGCTTCCATAAAAAGTCAATTTAAGGAAGCTTTGCTCTTTAAACTCTAGTGTCTCCTGTTCGACCAGCTTATTTATGATAGAAGCAAAGAAATATATTTTGTTTTAGCCCTGATTTTGTGCGGAAAGAGAACCAGATCAGAATTAGATGATCAAAATGTTTATTTTTTACTAATTGTACTCACCTATGGTCGTATTGTTTATCTTATTAATAATGTTCCCATCTTTTCTATTTACAGCCCTGACTCAGTAGCCAATGGTAAGCCAATCTACTACTTTTTTTTTTTTTTTACAAAAAATGTCTTTGGATATGTATATCTATATATATATCTTAGAATATTAACATGTTTTATCCGGAATTTCACCATGCTTAAATTACCTTTTTTATTCACGGTAATACACTGATAATTCAATCAAATAAAGTTAACAGAAATGAAAAAGTCTCATTTTAAAACACACATTCATTCATCCAGCATTAACTGATGACATCATCAGGCTTCATACGTCTGTTGGAGTAATTTGCTTATGTTTTTTTGTTATCATTTGTCAGGGCTGGTGATTGACTTCTCAAAACAAGATAATTCCTCTTTTTTCTCTGCAGATGAAGAAAGCAATGAGAGGATGAGCAAGGGCGGACATTTTGTACTTGCAGAGGAGCTGCAGGTAATCTGGGAGGGAGAAAGGTTTAAGGGAACTTAGAGAACCACCAAATGATGTCAAAGATATCCACCCATAGCCTGAACGAACACCTGGCCCCACCATTCTGCGCTAGCAGTATTTTTATGACCAGTGTGTGCAGGGGTAAACCACAGGTGTTTGCTGCTTTTTCCAAACCTGGATTTTGTAAATGTATGTACAGTAGAACCTCTACTTACAACTGCCTAAACATACAAATTTTCACATACGAAAAGTTAATGTAGTGAAAGTTAGAGTAAGTTAGGGTACGTCCTGTATCTCAGTCTCCACCTCTACGTCCGTTCACCAATAAGTGCCAATAAAAAAAAACCTTTTTGATAATTTATTTTTACATCTCTCTTACATAATGCATTTGTTTTATAGCTATGTGTAATTATCTCCAGTATTTGATAAGGAGTTATCGTAGTTATCGTAGTTTTTGGGCTGTGGAACCAATTATAGGAATTACAGTGTATTCTTATGGGAATATTTGAACCAAAATACAAATATTTAACATACGAAGTAAGTCCTGGAACCAATTAAAATCCTATGTAGAGGTTCTACTGTTATCATCTCTGACATGATGAAAAATGACCATGAGGGTGTGTTTCTCCTTGGTTCCAGTCTCCAAACCCATCTCAGAGGAAGTTACTTCAGACGACAGGACTGGCTGTTCCCTTCCCTCCTCTTAAGGTGGAGTGCTCTGACATTGAGTGTTACTGGACAAAAATAATGAACCGCACCACAAAGTTTATGAGACGTCTGCTTCCCATTGGCGATCTGTGTCCCAACGCTGCCGTTGTCTGCCCCCTCCAGGTGTTGTCCAACGGGGAGCCGTGCGTTCTGCTGCAGGCCAGGAAATTCTCTCTGCGTTATGAGAAGCAGAAACAACTGGACCTGACCGAGCGGACCTTCTCTCCTCAGAAACAGGTCGACATCAGCCAGTCCGTGTGCCTCCAGGACAAAGCCACGTATGTAGCCAAAACCTTCCCCTCTGATGTCTGCCTGCCTACGATTACAGCAGTTTTCCAACTGAAAACCTGAGCAAACAGCTTTGTTACGAAGGCTGATCCAGTGTGTGTGTATCCGTCTATCTTCCTCAGGCTGGTCATGAGATTTGGAGACGTGGAAGATTTGAGAGGCCTGGTCATAAGGTTGGTTTTCCTGTCTTCCTTTTTTCTTTAAACAGGTTTATATTGATCTGACCGGTGTTTCTTACTGAACCAAGCTTGAATTTTGTTCCTTGGCTGTGTATCGTTTGGGTTAAAAGCATCCACTTAATGACTGCATATAACATCATTAAGGCCTAACAAATGTAACGTATGCATTATTTCCTTCAAATATTACTTAATCTGGCTGAAGTTGACTTCCCCACTTGTGTTAGAGCAGAGTGAATACCTTTAAAAGTTACAGTTCGTGGGCTGATTTTCATACTGGGGCAGGGGTGTCCCACTCCTGGTCAGGGGGGGGATGCCCTCCTGCGGGTTTTTAAGATGTTTCCCAGCTTCTTTCAGGTCATTAGAGATTTGAGTATTCATCACAGCCGATTCCCACAACTGAGTTCAACACTCTGTTGGCTCTCTGCTGAAAGTAATGCGATTAAACCACAAATAGTCACAGGATTAGTTTTTGGGGGACACGCAGGAAAAGTGTGCTTACAGTTTTAGATTCGTTTCATGATCGTGTGGAGGAAAATAGGAAAATGCGTTTCTGGGGCTGCCGTTTACCGCATGATGAAGAAAGGTACATCCAGCTCATCACAGAGCTCAGAGCCATGTTTCCTTACCAAGTTCATTAAAATCCCCAAAGCATTCAGTATCCTGCACATTCTTTCCACTAACTCAACCATTTGAGATTCCAGCTCTGGTAGGCAGTAGAATTATTTATCTCACTGAATGATTTTAGCTTTTATGTCAGTGGTTTTTGAGCTGGACTTTTGGGTTGATATATTCAGACATGGAAGGCAATACATTATAGAAAGACTTCAGACTCTCATGCCTTTTTTTGTTGTTGCTGTAGACTGGAGTTATCCAACACTTTCTACGAGTCTTCGGGTCAGTGGTGGTTCTCGGTGGACAGCGTTTCTCTGCTCTACAACACTTCTGAAGAGGCTGTGTTCAACGCCAGCGACGTCTATGCCCCAGCCTCGTCCTCCTACCGCTGCCTGCACGTCAGCAGCCTGCAGCGCTACAGCGGCCTGCTGCTGCCCAGCTCCGACAACGCACGCCGCTGGTCCATCACCTTTGTCGACTTCCAGGTGATTTTTCTTTTTTTGGGCATCTTTAAATACACCGAAATGACTTAAATATTCTTAACCGTTTCCAAAATATGTCCGCCTTCATCAGATCCAGGCCTTCAACGTGACCTCTGGTAAATTTTCCCCGTCGAGCGACTGCACCACCATCCTGACGCCGGCCATCCTGATGGGCCTCATCACATCCCTCATCCTGCTGCTGGTCCTGGCCTACGCCCTGCACATGGTGGTCCACCTGAAACACATCGAGCACGACGACGACCACAAAGCCGACATGTATTTCCCTCAAAGCATCGAAGAGCTGGAACACTGCTGTGATGAGGACATCCCCGAGAAGAACGTCATTTAGAACAGACAACTGTCGATTACACTTTCAGCTTAATTTTTTTCTAAACAATCATTCATTCCGTTTTTTTTATTTCATTTGCTTACTAGTGAACTTATGCATTTGTCTTTATAACGCATTTAATAAAATACAAATGTTAAAAAGCTTTTGTCATGATGTTCTCATTTGCTGTTTGTCTTATTTATGGTTACAATTAATATTCTCAGTTAATTGACTACCTATTGTAATCGTGACAAAAGTTACCATAAAAAAATGCTTATGGCCTTTTGTTATTTCAATTTATGTTTTCTGGGATAAAATGTTTACGATTCAAAACATGCCTGAACATACTGATTGTAATGCAGGATGGAAGACTTTTTACCCTTGCTGAAGGGTAACTGTGTCAAGAAGGACATCCATTAATTCATCCATTTACTAGACCCCTTTATTCAATTCAAGGTTAGAGGTCCTAAAGAGAATAAGAAACAAAAACAATAGTAAAAAGAATATGTAGAGACATAAATTGAAATGTGCAAACGTTTTGCATGATGTTCACCTTAAAGTCATTAAAAAGTATCTTCTGTAACAATGTCAAAAAGTGAACTGCTGAATAAAATCTAATGTGAAGGAATTTTTTTTATTATTATTACTGTACAAGGAAAAGTTAAATCGTGCAAAAAAATAAAAATAAAATAAAAAAAACACCCACAAACTAAACATACATAATAGTAAGAGTAATTGGCTTTTTGCATAAATAAAATTTAGAAGTGTGGTATTTGAAATATTTAACATGCATGCAAATGTAGAAAAACAAATATCGCAATGCTGATGATTTGATTTGTAGAGAAAAAACAATTCAACAAAAATATTTTAATGATACATTTTTAATGTAATTTATTAAAAGATCAAACTTTGCATTTTATATGCATCTTTCTTTTTTTACATAGAAGAGAAAGAGGAAATATGTATACACAACATCCACAAATTAGATGTACTATTATTACACATGGAATGACTAAAAAAAGATAATACAAATGAGTTTTTAAAATATTTAATCTTTGCATTCACAGAACATAAAATTAGCACAATTTTAAAGGTATTTTCAATTCAGGACATACTTACGTCGAAACAGAACAGAAAATAGAAATGAATAAGCTAATAATAAAAGCGACATGCGGCCAAGAGCAATTCTACCTTTGTCCATAGGGGGCACTGGTTTGTAGAAGTTTCAATCAACGGAAATGTAATCACAGAAGAAGAAGTAGCTCCTGTCTACACAAGGAAAGAACTCGCAGCGATTTAAAAATATTTAATTTAAACATATTTAAGTCCACTACTTTACTAGAGGAACGTTTTTCCTTAAAAAGAACACGATAGATTATGCCTCAAACTCACCCGTTTGATGGGTTTTTGTTTTAAGATTAGCATCCACATGGTTAGCATTTGGCTAACGGGTTCTACTGTAGCTTCGACGTAGGAGTGTCACGTGACCCTACCTGACAGTGACCGCTTACCTTACCGTTTCAACTCGTCTCCACAACACTGGGGAATTCATGTTGAGTCACCTTTCGGCTGCTTTCGCACTGGTACCGCGCTGTCTTCGCATTTCCTCGTCGCGGGGTCTAGCCCGAGCCCGCCTCGTCCTCGGGAGGATGGACGCGGCCGTAGTGAGGTGCCTTCCCGGGGAGCCCAAGCTCACCATATCCTTCTCTCTGGACGGGAGCCACAAACACATGCTGCGGGACCAGGACGAGGCACTGGGAACGGTGCTGGCTCGGATCTCAAAGAACTTCGCCAAAAGCCAAGGAAAGGCCAAAAAGTCGAAGAAGAACCGGGGACAGCAGCCCTGCGAAGCCGCGGAGCCCGCTTCGGTGAAGCTGTTCGTCGGCGGTGCTGAGGTGGCCGACACGGTGCGGAACTCGGAGGCGTGGCAGGACGGGGCCGTGCTGCAGGTGGGGGACGCCAAGTACACGGTTCAGAGAAACGCTCCCACTTTCACCACCGCCGAGCTGCCGGTGTCCCTGATGGCCGGCTTCCCCGTCTGCCCCAAACTGGAGGTGGAGTTTGGGAACCTCCGGGACAGCGAGTTCACGTGGTACAAGGAAACCGCACCGAGCCCCAGGTCATTACGCCCACAGGTGTTCTCACTTAAGTGCTGATGCGTTTCCGGGGTAACGCAATCACGAAACAGGCATCAAGGATTAAATGTTAGATTTTTGGCAGGATGGGTGAAAACTGTATCCTTCTCAAGCATCTTTTTCAACACAAACAGTCAAAGTCCTGAAGAAACTCAGTTTATAACCAAAACATGAAAATGATGGCATTTTGAAAGCTGTAAGAAGTGAATTGGCACCATAAAGTCCATCTGTTTTAATGTTATAGTTGTTGTATTCTAGTCCATATAGATGTGTTAGTCGTTTGCGTAAAAATGATGTATGTTAGTCTGTATTTAGCCCTCATAGTTGAGATTTTTCCAAGAAACAAGTTCAGGGTTATGGGTTCCTGAAACAGTCGAAAGGACTGGGGGAAAAGTGTCAAAGCAGAAACTGTACATCTCCAAAGGCCGTTGATGTTTAATAACTCAACCAGTCGTTTGCCCCATGTTAAACAATTTAATTCACAGATCTTTACTCATTCGTCTCTTTTCAGTGCTGAAGCTTCTGATGGAGCTCCAGGTCCTGACTGTGGGTGGACGCCGGTCGGACGGGAGCGAGTCCACGTGCCGTCCAATCAGGACATCGGCTTCAGGCTCAAACTGAGCTGCACCCCCAGGGAAGGCGGTCGGAGCGGTCCGGCCAAAGAGCTGGTCTCTGTCCGAGCTGTGGAGGCGGGGCCGGGCGTGTGCACGTTCGACAACCGGCACGCGTACACCCTGAAGCAGGCCGAGTGGCCGGTGGTGCGGGTGGTGTCCTACAACGTCCTGGCAGACATCTACGCCCAGACAGAGCTGTCCAAGACCGTGCTGTACCCGTACTGCGCCCCCTACGCCCTGGAGCTGGACTACAGGCAGAACCTGATCAAGAAGGAGCTGGCCGGGTACAACGCCGACATCATCTGCCTGCAGGAGGTTGACAAAGGTGATAAAAAACACCCGTTCTTGGACAGAAAATGATACCCCCCACCCACATATTCATCTGACCCATTTCCAACGTACAAGACAGAGATATTCAAAAGTAAAATATGTCCCAAAACTTTTCCCAATTCAACATTAATGGTTTTTCCAAAAGTAACTTTGACTGGCAGCAACGTGCAGTTTTTAGCTTTAATGCAAAATGAATAAATTAACTAATTTAAGTGCAGCCTTCCAAGCTAAAATATTAACTGTGATTGCTTCAAAAACATACGTCAGTGGAAATGTCTGAATCAGATTTCTATATTAGAGTAAGAATTACTGTCAACTTCAGTGGCTGTCTTCTATCTCTCTAATCAAATCCATTTAACCCTCCAAAAATGAAGGGTACTGCAGGTTTCAGAGGTGTCCCTGCTTCAGCACACCTGACTCACATTCATTCATTTTCTTTCTTTGTTTGAATGCTTTTAGATTCTTTGTAACGCACTTTGAATGTGCTATAAAAATAAATTTGCCTTGCCACAGTTTGGTTCACATAGATTCAGGAAAAACAAGAGAAGCTATCTGGAGTGAAGCTCGGTTTACTCGCATCATCACGTGCTTCCATGGTGGGTTTTAAATGTGGAGCGAGATATGAACCACTGGATGTGCTCCCCAGTGAACACCAGAGGAAAAAGCCTCTAAAATCAGCCTTTCCAGCAGGTGGAGGCGCCATTACCTTCAGTAATTTTCTGTGACTGTGGATGTTTTCTATGCTCTTCAGGGGTGTTCACGGACAGCCTGATTCCCGCGCTGGACGCCTTCGGTCTGGATGGCGTTTTCAAAGTCAAAGACAAGCAGCACGAAGGACTGGCGACCTTCTATCGCAGGTTAGGGCCCTTTCTTTCTTTCGTACGCATTTCTATCACGCCTGGCCCAAGTCAGGCCTATCAGGGGTCACATGGGGCAGCTTGGTAATGGTTTTGGTGTCTAATCTGCATGTTAAATTTTCAGAGAATCAAATGTTTTAAAACTTCTATTCTATAAAAGATCATTCTTTTACGTCTGCTCTTTCAATGAGGATTTTAAAGTCTTTCTTTTGGAGTTAAAGCTGAATTTAAGCTTGTTTACAAAGGGAAGTCCCTCTGAAGTCTCCCATTACATAATGGGATGTCTCAGTTTGTGGCGGCGTGTACGTTTTTAACATAGAAACGATGTGACCCACTGAGTAGAAACTAAGCCGGTTGCTCACCTTGTGCTTCAGGTCAAAGTTTCGTCTGCTGAGCAGCCACGACATCACCCTGAGCGAAGCCCTGAGCTCTGACCCCACCCACTCCCAGCTGCTGGAGAAAGTTTCTGCCAACGGCGGCCTGAAGGAGAAGATCCTGCATAGGTCCACGGCGCTGCAGGTGCGTCTGCCCGCCGCCCAACAGGCCGCCCGCTCCTGTGCCACAACCTGTCCCCACTGAAGAGAAGCACAACGCTTCTGTTTGTGTCTCCAATCGTCTTTCAGCCAGCTGTGTGTGTCTGTGTGCAGGTGGCGGTGCTGGAGGACCTGCAGGGAGGCAGGAAGGTGTGCGTGGCCAACACTCACCTGTACTGGCACCCAAAAGGTGACAGGGATCCCAAAGATGTGGCGGCCAGGCTCCGACGACAACCCCTCTGAAACGCCAACTTGATATTTTACAGGGGGGAACGTCCGATTGGTCCAGATGGGCGTGGCCCTGCAGCACCTGAGTCACGTGATCAGTGAAGTTGCAGCCGGAGCCCCGCTGGTCTTCTGCGGAGACTTCAACTCCACCCCGAACTCTGGTAACTTCACACAAAGCACCACGACATCAGAATCCTCAGCAGCTGTGAAGGGTTCAAATCTTATGGCTCACTGGACTAAATAACACACAGCAGAAGCTCTATTTCTGAATGTTCCAACATCCCAAGTGAAATTCGATCAAATATTTGACTCGACACCCGATGTAAATTTCCAACATATGACGTCGAAGTCATACAAAAAAATAATTGAAATATAAAAATTTGATAAAAATAAATAAGCTAACTTAGTATAAAGTTCATGTAGTGAAAGTTAGAGTAAGTTAGGGTTTATCCTGTATCTCAGTCTCCACCTCTACCTCCGTTCACCGATAAGTGCCAATAATAAAAAAAAAATTTTATTGATAATTTATTGATAAAACTTTATAATTTATCTCTTTTTTACAAATATTTTATATGATGCATTGGTTTTATTGCTATCTATAATTATCTGCAGTATTTATTAAGGAGTTATTGTAGGGTTTTGGGCTGTGGAACGAATTATAGGAATTACAGTGTATTCTGATGGGAATATTTGAACCAACATAAAAATATTTTAACATACGAAGTAGGTCCTGGAACAAATTAAACTCCTATGTACAGGTTTTGCTGTACATGCAGGGTGAGAAATGGTCATGCCATCAGTCTGCAAGGTTTGAAAAGTGGTTGAAATTAAGGGCCGGTCTCTTTTACAGTGTGCAGCGAATGCAGCACCGTCTGATTTAGGTGTAATTAAGGAGGGAGGTGGGGGTTAACGTTGCGAGACGCTCAGGTTTAAAGTTTGTAGGGACTTTTGTAGTTAAAAAAATCGTGTCTCCTGTTGTGTGTCGCCCTGTTGTGTTTCAGGCGTGTTCCAGCTGCTGAGTGAGGCGGGGGTTCCTCTGCAGCACGCCGACTGGAGCAGCTCCGGCCCAGAGGAGGCCTGCAGCATGGAGCTGACCTCCACCTTCCCCCCCCTGCTCAGCGCCTACGGCCAGCCCGCCTACACCAACTACGTGGGCGGATTTCATGGCTGCCTGGACTACATCTTCATCCAGCCGGGGAGCATGCAGGTAGGCACAATACTGGAGTACATTCTACTTTTGAAAGAGGAAAATGTTTTAGCCATCAGTGTCTTAATAAAACCCCTTTTTATTTATTATTTCTTTATAATGTTTTTTTTTTTTACATCTCCCTTACATAATGCATTTGTTTTATTGCTGTGTGTAATTATCTGCAGTATTTATTAAGGAGTTATCGTAGGTTTTTGGGCCGTGGAACGAATTATAAGAATTACAGTGTATTCTGATGGGAATATTTTAACCAGCATACGAATATTTTAACATAGGAAGTAGGTCCTGGAATGAATTAAATTTCTATGTAGAGGTTTTACTATAAAACGTTTTTGCCGTTGGCAGGTTCGATATGAAAGACGTTTTCCGTGGAAACTAAAGAGCTAATATCCCGCATAGGAGGAGCAGGCATTTAGACAGATTTAGCTTACAAAGCAGATGAACTCTTAACTTGGCCGAAGGGATTTATGGGATTGTGACTATAATCACTGATACTGTAATAAAACTACTGCAGACATATTGGATTCATGTGGCATTCACTTAAACTTCCACTGGGAGAAAATCCTTTAATGGCTAAATCCCGTAACTCTTTTAAAAGTAAATACTGGGTTTAGGTATTTATCCTTTGATAGAGATTATGCAGATATGATACCAGTTTTTTTTACTGGAATGGACTTAACTTTAATACAGAAAACCAAGGCCGCATAGTTTTTTGGGGTGAAAAAAAGCATTTTCAGGCAGAGATTCACACTTTTATCAGACATTAAACCTCAATTGTTTAGGGCCTGACATGAGAATAAATGGAAAAAAATCGGTTTAATGTAATTTATAATAAACTAAAAAAGTAATTCTATCTAGAAGTTGTTTTTATTTTATTTTTTTCACAAAGATTAAACTGTGGGGTGATCCAGCAGGTCTCAGAACATGATGCTGACAGTTTTAAAGGTTGAAAAGAAGATGCTGAGCTTTGGCCTGTTAAAAACAGAAGTGACAGAGATCTAGAGATGATTCACCAGTGTGGCTGCGTGCGTGTGTTTTTGTGCAGGTGGAGCAAGTGATTCCTCTGCCCAGCCACCAGGAGGTCACCACCTACGAGGCGCTGCCCAGCGTGGCTCACCCCTCCGACCACATCGCTCTGGTCTGCGACCTGCTCTGGAAACCCTGACCTCTGACCTTTGGAAAGAAGACCTCTTTGCATGGCCTTTGACCTGCAAAGAAACGTGTGGAAATGTGTTTGTACAGTTTTAAACAAGAGGATTTCAACTACGTCTCCCAACAGGGGGAACCTGTTGTGGACTCCAGTATCATGGAAATGTGGAACTGTGGGACTGAACTCTCATCACTGATATTCAGTGTTGGGATGAATTAACTTAAAAAAAAAAAAAAAAGGAATTGACTCCTTAGTTGAGCCAGTTTGAGCTGATTTTACTCACAGCAGTAATGAGGCTCCTGTTCTGCAGCTTTAAGAAAAAATCTTCATATATTTAGAAATATGAATATTTAATAACAGAATACTTCTTATATCTGAATGGGTTTCTCTGTGTGCCTTTTGAGTTTTTGAAAAAATGAACATCCAGTCGGGATTAACTTCCACCGTTTGCTCATTCTTCTCTGTTTCCAATGCATTTAGTATAAAAATTATTATAAATCTGCCCTCTAGCACTATTGTCCTCAAAGCGAGCTGCTATAAGGCTGTAACTGTGTTTTAACCCATATAGAAATGCTTTTCTTCAAAGTGGGTCACATGATCATCCTGTGGAAACCCATAAATGCCTGTACAAAAAAAGTAGATGAAATGTTTCAAATGCCAATAAAGGATTTTTGAAATTGAAATTCTTATTCTATAAATCTTTATATTTACCAAATCGTATTTTGTATTTGTAAAATGAGTGTTTTTGTTCGTGAACAAGTTGTAACAGCATTTTTTATCAAGGTCAGGGAACATGTCACATTGTCCGTGACTGTGGTCAGTAGACATTGGCTGACCTTTGCATTGACCCCATACACAATCTTCCATTGCTTAAATAAATAGTAACGTCAAAGAAGAGAGGATTTGCACTGTGTCGAACATATTTAGCAGTTTTATGATCGTACAACCATCACAGTGAGTGTTTACATTAGTTCTGGCCATTTCTGCTGAACGTGAAGGCAGCACGACATCCGTGGAATGTCTCCTTGGAAACAGAAATAGACCAACAGATTTGGTGAAATATGACACCGTCTTTAAAAGCTGTCAAACTGGAAGCCCAGTAGGCGCACATGGATGACTTCTTATGTAAATTGTGGCTTTAATATCCACGTCTCCTCGCCACGCTGTTTTTCTCTCATTGGTCAGAAGCTGCAAAGAGGCGGGCTATCAGTGAGTGGTGCATACCATTAAGTGACACAATGGGGGGGATCGGAAATTAAATGTATAAGTTTCCAAGTGTTTGCAGCAATTGTAACCTGCCAGATAGTTAAAGAAAATAAGTAGAATATAAAATAATTATTTCTCATTTTACTTTTACCATTCAGAGACACATGCTGGTTTTAATGTAGGATCCCATCCACTCAAGTATCCCTGGCGCGGGAAGGACCGTTGAATGCACTCATCAAGTTAACATGGTTTCGTTATAGATACCGGAAATTGCCTACTTTAGACTTCAGAATAGAATTTAGTTTTAGTGCTTCTTATTTTCATTGGGCAAACGAATTTCCAAAGTTGTGGAGCAACACGCACAGCTATACAGAAAAGCTAAATTGGACTTTAAATGAGATACAGGGACTTATGATTTACTCTAAGAAAAATTTCCATCCCCAGCTATGGTTTTTTTTGTCTTTACCCTTTCATTATGCATATTCAGATATATAATATCGGGTATCGAATCAGGACTGATTTTTAGTGCTAATTATAAATGGCTACTATTCATGTAAAAAAAAAAAAAGTTATTCTAGTACATTTAAATAATCGGTTTGGTAGTATGGTAACATCTATTTTCAGGAATAGCTTGTGTTCTTGTGAATTGTGTGGGAAATAAAACAATAAGCTAATTTATGCATCCCATACCATTTAACATGTTTAAAGATGGATTTGATTGCGGCAGAAAGATGCCTAGTGATGATAGTTTTGTGAGAAATCTTAACTGACCTCATGTGAAAAGTTTCATTGCAGAGCTGTACACAGGGCCCTATAATATTTGACTTGGGAGCCCTTTATTGCTGACAGTTATGAATAAAAACATTATTGATAATTCAAGTGCCCACAATAGACTTGTCTAATATGGAGCACTAGGATTGCCTGAAGGTAGGAATAAAAGAGGAGCCGATTCATTAAAAAAAATTATATGTAAAAAGATTGCCCTGTGGAAAATCTCAACTTAATTGTTTCTGATTATTCCGTTTGTTAATGTGTTTTGGTTGAATTTTTTATCTTTTAGATGATTTTGATCCGTTATTAGGCCAATTGGCAAATTAAAAGGAGCTGAAAACAAAACAAAATAATTGTGGTCACTTTTATTCTGAAAAGTCTAACCGGATGCTGTATGTCTGACTTCGCTGAGCTTTACGTAGCGCGGATGTACCGGAAGCCAAACAAAGAATTGGGGTTTGAACAATCTTACGTGTCATTCCTTGAGTTTCACTGAATCGGAAACCTGTGGGAGACTTTCCTTAAACAATTCTTGGTAAGTTTTCTCCTTCTCTCTTCATTCTCACGCACCGATACGGACGCAAGGCTTTACTTTCCCCGTCCTGAAAGTTTGATTTTCAGGAAGATGTGTAGAGACAGTTAGCCAAAGTAGCTGACGTTAGCGACCTGAAATCACTGTAAGTTCATTTATGAGTTAAATACAAACACATGAGCATTCAATTATCTGTTCCCACTAAGTGTTCAGACTTCAGATAAAATTAGACCTTTAATAATTAAGTTGGTTACGTCAAATCTTCATAAAAGTACACGTGTCTATGATTAAAGCAGCAAAATGAGCCTTTGTGTTTTTAATATGTGCTCTCATTGTTTAAATGTCTTATCCTTATTGTTTTTTGTTGAAGTCCAGGGACTAATAGGGGCGTTGAGTTAAACAAATGTACAACCAGATCTTCTTAAACATAAAATATCATAAATCGTTTGGAAATATGAATTCTTTATGTGGAATTAAATATTTTAGATCTAAACATGTTAATTGAAATGATCTTTTATTTGATTGGATTATGAATGTATTAAGTAAATTAATTCAAAATTGGCTTGAACAGGACTCGCTTGATCTTTAAAAACAATGAGATGTAATTTTTTTTAATCCGGAATGATGGAAATAATACTCAATTAAATTAGGTTTTCCTCTTTAAGTGTGTGGAACTTTATCTATAAAGAAACATGTGACATTATTTCTGTTCTTTTTCTAAAAGCTAAACAAATATGTATTTATTGGATCTACACACACATACATACTCATGCATACACACACATATATATATATATAGAGCGAGAGATGTTTTTGTGGGGAAATCTATATTTTTTGCAAGAAGCAAATATAAAATATCCTATAGGTATTATAGGGACACCACCGTTTCCAGGTGCTGTATCCCTCAGCTCTCATGTGATTTTGGAACATCCTCACAGCTAAGTCTGGGATCTCGTATAACAGCTTAAATTAGTCAGACGAAAACATTAAGCTTGAGTTTGTTTATGTTTCCGATTGAAATCGGCATGTTTAAAAAGCCAATGAAGATGAATATGATCAGAAAATCAGTGATCCGGCGTGTGGTATTTGATTTAATGTTGACGCGGGTGCAGGTTTGTGTTATCTTTTCTGTGGCTCAGTCCCACTGTTGATGATCGGTGTCCCTTCTGTCGCTCCCAGCAGAAGCATGAAGGCTCTGATCCTGGTGGGGGGTTACGGGACCAGGCTGCGGCCGCTCACCCTCAGCGTCCCCAAGCCGCTGGTGGAGTTCTGCAACAAACCCATCCTGCTGCACCAGGTGGAGGCGCTGGTCAAGGTGAGGAGACGCCCGCACGCCGGGAGGTCAGCGTTCTGCTCCCGGGCTCGCTTACTGACCGCTGGCCGTGTGTTTGCAGGCCGGGGTGAACCATGTGGTGCTGGCTGTGAGCTACATGTCGGAGCTGCTCGAGAGAGAGATGAGAGTCCAGGAGCAGAGGGTAGGGGGAGAAAAGTGCCACGCTGGTGCTGTGACGGCGGGAAGAGTGCTGGAGGGGAAGAAACCTCCTAGATACACAAAATGCTGAATATAGAGATAAAATCGGCAGTTTTTTTGTGCAAAAATGTTGGATTGAGGATTAGATTTGTCATCATTTTCTGGTTATTTTATCTCCAGATTGAGGAAATTCTGGTCAAGGTCCAAGAAAAAAAGTGATAGCATAATTATCAGTGCTTAGTGCTTAAATACGTTGGGAATTTGAAAGAATAGGACAGTTTATTTCTCTCTACAGCCTAATTCTCTTAGAGTCTCTGTCTGCCTTGTTTTGAAACGTTTCGCTTTTCTCTCCTCAGCTTGGGATCCAGATCTCTCTGTCTCATGAGAAGGAGCCTCTGGGAACCGGTGGGTACCAGGAAACCGTCTCAGTGCAGCAGCAAAGCGCAGCTTAAATTGTCAAGTGATCCAAGGTTGTTTTAGTTTAGAGAGCAGAAGTTTCTCAGTTCTTTCTGTTACTTTGAGCTAAACTCGTAAAGAAGCAATCAACTAAGGAAAAAACTAATGACAAAGCCACAGTGTCGGTTTTCTCCTCGAAAGAGGCTCACGTATACTCAGTGGGGCCTTAGTTTCCTCACAGGTTTATTGGTTTTAGATTATTCAGCTGCTAGAAAAGTTTTAAACGTCATTAGGATTTGCCAGGATACAAAGATGCCACGTTCCAAGATGCTAAAGCTAGCATTGCACGGGACCATTGTGTTGAAGTGATTTCAAAATTGGATCATTGCAAAGATTTTACTGCACACCTCCTGCAGATCTGCACTGAACAATAGGCAGAGTAATTCATTTTGGCAACAAAAACCATGAAACAAATTTGTAGGAAATTAATTTGATCAGAAAAAAAACCCAGACGAGACCAAAATGAAGCCACGCTCCCTGTAGATCATACCAAAGGCTTCTCTGAAAAGGTCTGACAGAATGTCCGTTTCTGTGTCTGAATGTGCTCAGCGGGGCCCCTGGCTCTGGCCCGAGAGCTTCTCAACGTGGACAACGAGCCGTTTTTCGTCCTCAACTCGGACGTGATCTGCGACTTCCCCTTCAAAGACCTCCTGCAGTTCCACCACAACCACGGCAGGGAGGGAACCATCGTGGTGAGCGCCTGCATACTGCTGTGCACCAGAGCTGATCTTTGATATTCTGTGATCTGTGAGCTTGAATTACCGTTATATACAAGCACCAAGCTGCTCTAAAGTAAAACAAAAGATTTTAAAGCCCTCTCTGAGTCTGAAACGAGAGGTAAAGTCTGTCCTCCATCCTGCACCCGTATTAAACAGTCCTCTAGACAAAACATTAGGAAACGAAGTATAAGCAGACCTTCTCTGAGACCTTGGAAGAGGAAAGAGCCCCACGAAAAAGATAAAGAAACTTTAAAATATTCACTGGTGGAAAGTTAACAAAGAGAAGTGAACAAATTGATCATACCTATATTGATTTCTCCCACAGTGTCAGAAGATTGTTCTTAGTTTTAGATTTCTAACATGATTCAGCCATCGCTCTGACCTACAGGCTGGGGCGAAATGTGCCTTTTGAATTATGAGGTTGAGTTCTGCTTATTATTAAGGTTTTAAAAGTTTCAAATCTGAAACAGAAACGCAGTCAAAATCAAATGAAAAGTTAAATTCTCATAATATTTCAGATCCTCATTTTGTATTGAGCATATTGTCCTCCCATAATCTTTTTTTTTTTCTTTTTCATGGCCTCTGTAACTTTTGTTCCGTTAACTTTGCAAAAGAAAAATTAGGATATAAATACAGATAACAGTTTAAGACAGAAATATTAATAGTAGGTTTTTATTTTATAACTCAGTAAGGTGCTCTTTATGTTTTCAATGGCTTTCCATTCAACATCCATTTAAAAAAAGTTGATATTGTGTCTGTTTGTGTGTGTGTGTGTGTGTGTGTGTGTGTGTGTGTGTGTGTGTGTGTAGGTGACGCGGGTGGAGGAACCATCGAAGTACGGCGTGGTGGTGTTCGACTCGGACTCCGGGAGGATCCAGCGCTTTGTGGAGAAGCCGCAGGTCTTCGTCTCCAACAAGATCAACGCCGGCATTTACATCTTCAATCCCAGCATGCTCAGCAGGATCCAGGTGAGGCGAGCGGGGTGGCAGCCATCGATGTGTTTTGAACCCTGAATAACCTGGTGAGGAGCTTCTCATTGAATAGAGGAAGATGGGTCAAATTACAGTTCAGAATTCAGAAAGTATAAAAAATTCTACAGTAGCTCTCAGAGCACTATTTGATGTCCTAACAAAGGCTATTTTCTCTGACTCTTTAAGGTGGAAACATGAGTACAAAGTGATTTTTTCTTTCAACATTTTTGTCAAAGATCATGTATTTTAAATAGTTTGTGTTCCATACAAGGTTTTGACCTCTGCTTGTGTGTTTTGTGGCAGCTGAGACCGACATCCATCGAGAAAGAAATCTTTCCTGTGATGGCGCAGGAGGGTCATCTGTACGCCATGGAGCTGCAGGGTAACGCTCCACTCTTTCACAGCACAACACCCCCTGAAACCCTCACAGTTACGATGCCTTTTCAGCCCTTAATCACGTCCCACAATGTGAAAACTCCTCTACAGAGGTAGAAAAGCAGAACGAGGAGGAACTACATCTCCTTTTGTTAGATTTCGAGGATTTATACCTGAGAATGCCTTATTTGAGCTTTTTCTGTAATTATTCCCAGAGAAATTAAGGTATACTTACATAATGTCCCTTCCTGCTCTGAACATATTATTTTGGTTCATATCTAACAGATTTTTTATTATAAATAGACTCTCAAATATGTAAGTGTTTCTGTCTCAGACACAGAAGTAATTCAGGGTTGTGACAGAGCACAAAGCGTAGCAGTGATGCTTTTGATCTGCCGTTGACCCGTGTGCTCGCTCTGCTCTCTGCAGCTCACAGCTCCACCAGACGTAAGTCAAACCCCAACCCTAGTTCTGGACGGGGATCGTTTTAGGAGAAGCACCAACCAAAAAAAAAAACAAACAAACAAACAAACAAAAGAAATAAAAGGCGCCTGAAACAGAAAAGTGTTTGCGGGTCAGACTAAAGGCCGCGTGGTGTTCAGATGGAGACGCCACATCTGGACTGCTGTGCTGTTGGTGCTTCTCTGGATCCGCCTCTCTGGGAGTCTGCAGCTTTGTATGAAACAGTGAAACCAAGTAGCTGTGAGCACCCCCCCCGCCCCCCCCAAACCTGTAGACAGACCGCTGACAGACCTTTGCCCACCCAAATATTTAGGCAATTTTTTCTTTAAGTTTGATGTATATTTACTGTACAAGTCATTACTACAGAGAGTAGCAGTGGTAGATGTATCTGTGGGCAGGTTTTAAAGGCAGGTGTGTTTGTGTTGGAAGCAGAAAAAATGTGCAGTTGTAAAGATTGTAGCACTCACAGGATGTGTTAAATTGTCAGAATCCACCCGTCGTGGTCAATTTTGGAAAAAACAACAACATCTTACCAGCATCAATACTGCCCAAAAAAGAGCATTATACCTTAAATTTGTGGTTCCAGGGGTCTGAACATCAGTTAAAAAGCTGCTGAATCTTAAAAACAAACAAACTGTGACTTACATTTAATGAGTAAGTCTCAGAACTGGGCCCAAGTGCACTGAAAAGATGGTAGATCATGTTATCCTCTGGCTGACTGAGCTCAGAAGGGCCTTTGTGGGAAAGACTTGGCAACAGGATGCATTGTGGGACGAAGCAACGCCACAAGGGGGCCACGTTCAACCGGGAAACATCGGCTCCTGCCCAGTCTCAGAGCCAGATGAGGAAGCTTTCCGCAGGGTTGAAGTCAGGGTTTCTGCTCTGGGCTGATCATGTGACCCCTCTCATTTAGGCCCGCGGTGGTTTCCACGGCGTCTAACTCCTCCCCCTCTCCGTCTGCAGGCTTCTGGATGGACATCGGTCAGCCCAAAGATTTCCTGACGGGGATGTGCATGTACCTCCAGTCCGTCCGGCAGCACGCCCCCGAGAGGCTACGAACGGGGCCCGGTTTCCTCGGCAACGTGCTGGTGGTGCGTGCAGCTTGATGACGATACCTGTAAAAAAACAAAAACAAAGATCTGCACTCCAAGGTGGTCTTCTCACGCCCGCCCTCTGACCCCTCAGGACCCGACAGCGCAGATCGGGGAGAACTGCACCATCGGGCCCAACGTGACCATCGGCGCCGGCGTGGTGGTGGAGGACGGCGTGCGGATAAAGCGGTGCACGGTGCTGAAGGGCTCCCGGGTGCGCTCGCACTCCTGGCTGGAGAGCTGCATCGTGGGCTGGAGCTCCTCCGTCGGCCAATGGGTGAGCAGGCATGCACGGCCGTGCTTTTGAATTACTCAGATGCGACCTTATCCAATCAGGTGTCTTATTTACTGGGATGGGAGACGCCGCTGAATGGTTCCAATAATAAGGGTAACAGAAAAAATGTCCCTTTTCGATGCAGCTTTTTCAATTTTTCCAAATGATTTTTTTTTAGATCAGCTGCAAAACATGAAAGTTTTTTAACTGATCAAAAAGAAGAAAGCATAAACACTTAAGCTGTTCATTTTAATTGTGTTTAAGTTGAAATTTCCAGGTTTGGTAATGTGTCACAGACCAGGGTTTGATTTCACGTGTGCCTCCTGTGGCAGCCTCCAGTGAGCAGGACTGTGTGTCTGTGTGTGTTCAGGTGCGCATGGAGAACGTCACGGTGCTGGGGGAGGACGTGATCGTGAGTGACGAGCTCTACCTGAACGGCGCCAACGTCCTGCCCCACAAATCCATCAACGAGTCGGTGCCAGAGCCACGGATCATCATGTAGCACCGAGCAGAAGTGAATCAAATGAACTGGACTGGAAACTATAAATGTGCAAGAGGGAGGAGGAACAAAAAGCTCTTTTTTTCTTTTCTTAAGTTGGACTCGTTTTAGCCCTGCTTGGCTGCATTTTCCACTAGTTAGAAACGATGGCACAAAGAAAAAATGGAAAGAAAAAGATAGGAAAGTTAGTTAAAATCGTGGCAGGATGGAGTAGTAGGTCCTATATGAGGTGGACAAAGGGGAAGAAAAACAAGGGAAGGGGCCGGTGGAGGGATTGAATGTGTATGTGTGTGTGTGTGTGTGTGGGGGGGGGGGGGGGGTGGAAGTGTTAGGGTGCGATACAACCTCTGCCGGTGAGATTCAGTTTGTATTTACACAGTCTGGGGAAGCTTATTGTTCAAAAACACTGTCGGATGGAGCTCCATGCCAAAATCATGACCTATTACAAGGAAAAAGCAGCCTTTCTCCCTCAGTCAAAGATGCATTAAACATGAATGTTTAAACAAACGGGGGTTTGTGTCCACCGGATGAATGTACGTCCAGCAGAGCGACATCTAAAGCTGATCCGTTTAAGCATAAATGTTCTTCCTTAGTACTCCGAAAGCCGTCTGCTCCAATAAGTTACTGCTCAGTGAAAAGCTGCTGGCTTTCAGAAAGAGAGGTCTCTAAATCACATTTCTTTAAGACTTCAACGTCCCCATGCAGTTCAGGACAGATTCGACTGAATTATGACAAATTCTCCGTTGGTTTGGGAACAAAACTTCAATCAAAGCCATGATTACTCAGATCAGAAGTCTCAGTATGGTGGCTCCTTAGGGACATTCAGAACTCTAAGCTGTATATAAATTGGCTACTTCTAGTGTGTTCACTTGTTAGTGAAATGTGTTATTTAGGGTTATTTTCTGTCACTTTAGACATTTTGTCCAATTTCTGAATTTGATTTTTTTCTATTTTCATTAGGTTACAGATGGTATCCTAAGTAAATGATTAAAAGGAAGCTCACACAGGCCACTTAGAAAAATGTGTGCACTGTCTCTAAGGCTTTGGTCGGCTTTGTACATTTTAAATGTGCCTTTATGGCCAACACAGGCACCTAAAATATGGTTTAAAACTGAATGAAATTGGCTCTATTTAAGGCAATAAAGGCATGTTTTTTAGGGGAACCTGTGCAGTGAAACCGGCCACTTAAGACGCTACTGAGCTCTGATCTGGAAACTCTGAGCCTTGAGCTTTTAAGCTTTAAAGAGGATGTTTGATTGGACCATTTGGTCCTCTGTTTGTGGTTTGCACTCATCACTGTGGCACAGATGAAGACATTCGGCTTGTTACTGACTTTTCAGCAAAATGGAGGCTGCTGAGAATTCCCCAAACATCAAACGGCAGAAACTGTCGTCTTGGTAGCTCAACGTGAAGTTAAAGATAAAAAAAGTGATATGAAACCTGGTAAAACTCCCAAAACTCTTTAGTGTGAGGCATTTTGAAAAGTTGAGTTAGGCCTCTGTAGCTGGATGTAGCTGGATGTTTCTGAGGCCGGTTCATGTTCCTGTCAGAAGCTCTGGTACTGAAGCAGCGTTTACTCTGACTGCTGATGGGAGTATCATCTCAGTCAGACACCACGGTGGCTCTTTGGTTGTTAACAGTATTCAGACCGCTTTAACATGTAAAAACTGAATGAATGAAGTTGATTCTTGTTCTTGTAATGAAGTCTTTTTTTAAAACTAAAATGAATAATATAAACTACTGACAACATCTGTATATCTTTTGTCTTTATTTAAATTTCCATTTCGACGCATATCCAAGACGCATATCCCCCAGTATCCGCCCTGGATTTTGCCTTTTCTCTG